GTTTCCCCCTTGGGGGCTAGGGTTAGGGTTAGAACTACCAGAAGAAGTTGTTATGACAAATGTAGGGGTGGTGAACTTCAATGGACTATTATGTTGTGTTTCCCCCTTGGGGGCTAGGGTTAGGGTTAGAACTACCAGAAGAAGCTGTTATGACAAATGTAGGGGTGGTGATCTCCAATGGACTAGTATCCCATCTAGGGGTGGCTTCATGTGAGGAAAACTGGGACTGGGGTCAATTGAGCGCAAGATAAGAATACTCTGCTATAACAATGGAAGCTTAACAGCCCTTAAAATGTTTCCTTGCAGTCTACAAAAAGCCAAGTCCCTTCCAGACAGCCTGCCAGAGTGACACCAGCGCAGAAGGAAGTGTACCTCTCAAGTGTTTATGGCCGCCAACCTCACTATCCACAGAGGACGACGTCCAAGGCACCATACCTACACTACCAGTCTCCTGTGAACCCCAAGACTGCTGCAGTAATGGCAGGGATCATGGCCGGTGACAGCAAGCTTCCTGGAAAACCTGCTGTGCAGGATTTGACCAGCTTTCTAGGACAAGAATTAACAGAACCCAGTGGACCAAAGGCTGATGCCAGGAAACCTGTGCACGGTTCTGATGGGAAACCTTTCAAACAAAAAGAAGACATGCAATATTTCTTTCACCCGAGGGTGGACTTGTCACAGGTTGGCGAGGGGATGTCTCGGGTTGGCGTGCCATTGGAGGGACAATTAGTGCCTATGGCTATACCCCTGGGGAGACCCAAGACTAATCCAGCATTACGACCTCCCATTGTCACGCAACAGCCACAATACACAACTCATGAAGAAGGTAATATTCCATTTTGTTGACAGCCCCAAATTGTCACGCAACAGCCACAATACACAACTCATGAAGAAGGTAATATTCCATTTTGTTGACAGCCCCAAATTGTCACGCAACAGCCACAATACACAACTCATGAAGAAGGTAATATTCCATTTTGTTGACAGCCCCAAATTGTCACGCAACAGCCACAATACACAACTCATGAAGAAGGTAATATTCCATTTTGTTGACAGCCCCAAATTGTCACGCAACAGCCACAATACACAACTCATGAAGAAGGTAATATTCCATTTTGTTGACAGCCCCAAATTGTCACGCAACAGCCACAATACACAACTCATGAAGAAGGTAATATTTCATTTTGTTGACAGCCCCAAATTGTCACCGAGCCAGTAAAGAAACTCTGGGCGTCCCCAGGGACTAGTTGGAAACGGGTGTGGCTTAGCTGCAGCGCCCACGAGAGTCTTCTCGCAGCTTGATATTCGTAGTTGGCTGCAAAGCTTGCGTCGTGGTTGTTAGAAATTACTGAACCTTTTCATAATTTTGAGAAAAAATAAAATCCTTAAACGGTTGACTAACGGTATCTTGTTTTTGCAGCTACTCCATTTTTATCTAAAACACTTCCTACAGAATTGACGACGATTAATGAAACGTTACTACGCTTTCCGCTTCAAAATGACGCAAATCTGCGCGCCTCCACTGATCTACCTTAAAAAGATTTCACCCGTGTGGTCTTATTTGTTTGAGAACTAAAGGTTGTTAGCCACTAAATGTGTTTATTTATTGAAATTTGCAGCAGAGGCAGAAAGCCCCTTACCAGATAGTACCTTATCTACAGACCCATCTGAAGTCCATTCCCCTGATCCCACTCCCTTGAGACTTAGTAGACCTGCTCGGCCAAATGTGGCAGTGATTACTGTATGTGATAAGGAACTGGGCGAGAACACGGACCATCAACACAAACGACACAAAAAGACACCAGCGAAGAAAAAGCGAAACCCTCTGTCTGTTCAGGTTGGTGAAAAAAAACTTCATTCTGCGGAGTATCTTTCAAATCGTGTGTAAAATCTTTTTTCTTGCTTTGGAGACTGTTTTAACTTGAGCCAAGACTCTTGATGAGAGAAGGCGGGAAAGAACGGGGGAGCGAAACATGTGCCAATTTTTTTCAGAATTATTTGCTTTTACGGTAGGTGTTACCCAAAGTGGATATCGACAGTTTTTCAGAGTCTTCGTCATCTTCTCCGAGTTTGTCACACGTCTCGGTAGGTTGAAATACTTAAGATTAAGTAGTTGACATGTAAGATTTCCCTTCAATACCAATACCATGTAAGCAACCGATTTGTCCAATGTTTTCCTTTTGCTATGGAAGTTTTTGAATTATATTTATTAAACTGCTGTACACTAAAATACCCAATTTTTGTTCTGAAAAACTAAGGAAGAACTTAAGAAGATTTATTTGGAATTATACTTAGCTATGATAATATCGGAGCTGATACAAGTTTCTTGATCACTGATGGTCCTCCCTTAGAACGTTCCAGAGCCCTTTTCCCGTCCGGATGATTCTGAGTACCAGGAGTTCAGGAATTTTTTGGCCGTCACAGAAACTGGGGACCAGGAAAAGGACGATGAACAGGTTTGAGTTATTTCCGTTCGTTTTAGGACAGTTCCGTCTTGGTTAACCTTTCTCCTTTTGTTCTCAGACTCCTAATGAGGCAGATGATGACTTTCACCGACTTCCAACACCTCAGCAACCCTTGACACTAGAGGGACTCACAGAAGCACAAGATAGACCATACAATGGCCCCCCGTTTCCACCTGTTCATCCTCCTGTTTCTATGCAGCAGACAGGAGGGGTTCTTGAAGCTGATACTCGGCAACAGGAAGCTCTGGAAGAGAGAGCCATGGAATGGTAAAGTTGTCGCTGTTACACAAACTTGAATCTTTCTTTTCCGAGCAAGGCGACGGTATGATCGTTTCAGAGACTTGGATACTCTTCGTCTTACGCTCGTAAACAAAACCTTTCTTACTCTATAACCGCGGAGGATTCTTCTGGCCTTTCTCGAACTAATCGGATGCAAAACTTAAATAGTTGTGACCTCCCGCGTTTCAAGGAGTTCCCTATAATTCAGTTTGAGTTCCCACTGGCTCCTTGTAATGCCGCCTGGTTAGTTCAAACCCCCGCCTAGTTAGTTCAAACCCCCGCCTGGTTAGTTCAAATCCCCGCCTGGTTAGTTCAAACCCCCGCCTGGTTAGGTCATGCTGTAAAGCGCCAAACTGCCGTGCGCGAGGTCGAGGGTTCAAGCCCCAGACCGGACCAACACTCAGGGTCTGAATATAACTGAGGAGAATGTGCTGCCTTTGCCATGACACCTGTAAATGGTTAGACACTCCAGTGTTCTCGGATAAGGACGAAAACCCGTAGGCCCCGTCTCTTGCATCTTCTTTGTGCTAGTTAGCAGGGACGATTAAGAACCTACACGCTTATCGCAAAGAGTAGGGAACGTAGCTCTCGTTGTTGTGGTCTGGCCTTGATTCTGATATTGGGGGTATCTGCAAAACTTCCTTCAAAAATTGTAAATTGCTCAATGCAATCTGGCCAAAGTCCCCCACAAAAAAAATCTTGTCAATTAAATCGGAAGAGCAACATAGTGGAGGTTTAATACAGGTATTTGTATTGTGCTGTATTTTGTTTTGATTGGCCATTTCGTTTACTTGAGGTTTGGAGTTCAAACAATGTGTCATATTGTGTTGAAAAAATATGATGAACTTGGCTTATTAACCGACTCAAACTCTTTCCCTATTAGGATTGAGCAGGAACTCCTTGCGCGTATCGTAAGTGAAATGAATCAACCAGTGACTGACCCCACCACCCTAATAAGGCCCCAGTCCACTCCTGAAAGTAGTAGCACCGTTTCGGAGACAGGAGATGAAGATGAGGAATTTCTTGGTGAGTTCTCTTATTGTAGTAATGCTCTGTGTGGGTAAAGTTAGATTGACAAAAAAGGGCCTGCAAAAATATCTCGGTCTATAGTTGCGGGACGGCATATAAATTTGCCTGAGATGGTAGATCTTTACAAAGAGGTGATGTCATAGCGCGTAACTTGTGATTAACACCACGTGAGTTCATCTCACTTTCTTTACTATGAAGCCGAGTGTTGCTTCTCCGTCCCTGATCGTATCCAACAGAGATCACCCCTCTCTCTCCGAGGCATTTCGTCGTCTCTTAACAGTTCACCAGTTTTAACTGTAGTCCTGAGTAGAAATAAGGACCGTGAGAGTAAAGTGTCTCGTCCCAGTCAGGGATGGAATCCAGTCCTACAGCTTAGAGGAAAAACAAGCGCATTGTAAATGATGGAATTAGTTGGGCGTGGGTTGAGACCACGACGCACCTCGCACCTTATCCCGCCGATCTGTCTCGTTCCAAGTCCTTCTCGCCCGACGCTTCTCCTCCTCATCGACTTGTAACAGTTAGAACCATGTTCGAGTATTTCAAGAAGAATTGAAATCGATATCAGGAATACTGAGATCGTTTCCTTATTTTGTCTTACATGGTTATCATATTTTCAAGGTTGTAATAATCACAGCAAACATTTTTATGATGTTAGTTTTTGCGCTGTTTGGTTAGCTGCCGCAATAGGTCAGGATGGAATTCAGCTGTTTATTGACGCTGGGATCCCCGTGGATAAAGAACTTGTTACCAATTTGATTCGGGAAGTAATCGCAGAGAATGTTTCTACGATTCTTGGTCATCCAAAACCAAGGATCAATCCTCGACCTTCGAGAGTAAGTGAACTATTTCTTTAGCCATTTTTTCAGTAAAATAAGTTTGAATGTGTACTTTGGCCCTGGTAAGTTACCAAGTTAGCGGCTATTTATCGTTGCTTTAGCCTCATTGAGCATGGTATGTTACACGTTATGGCATCGGGTTCCCATTAAGGGTCCCATACATTATCCACTTCTATTGCTGTGTGTTGTTTGGCGTACCCATTGCGCAGTTACCAATTCCAACATCCTTGTCATTATTTAGCAGCCAATTGCTGAGGAAGGTCACCCGTCACGTACACCCTCCCCCAGAGGAACACCATTGCCAACTCCCGCCCCCACTCCTGAGTACACACCTCCAGAGTCAGAGAAGAGTGTGCATGAGTCGGCAGTAGTAGTAACTCCTGAACGCACTCCTACCCCCTCGGTAACGAGCGAGGAGCCGATTCCATCGGAGAGTGCAGAGGAAGAAAAGGAAATTGAATCAACTAAGGAAGAAGTGGAGATAAAAGAACAGTCCAGTGAAAAGGTTAGTTTGTTGAGATGGTTACTGTTGGTATGTTTCAGCGAGGCACTGGCCAAGTGAATATTTATTCGTCTTCATTTTAATTTGTAGATCTCTGAGGTCAAAACTCCAGTGTCTACCCCAATCCCAACTCCACCTGCTGTCCAGTCCCCTCCGGTCAGTATATCTACACCTGAGGCTTCGGTTCAAGAGCCAGAGGAATCCCAAGATACTATAGTTCCCACGCCTCCGCCGTCAGTTGTTGTCAAAACACCAACTCCAGAGCCTGAACCCGAGCCGGAAGCAAGCATGTAAGCTTACGCTTGTAACAAATTCGGAGACGCTGTTGCTCAATGGTTAGCGCTCTAGATTTAGGATCAAAGAATCCAAGTTCCAGACCTTTCCGGGTCATTGTGTTGGGTTAGGGGGCGGGACAATTCACTCTGACAGTACCAAGGGCGATTCTAAAGGAAACCCTGGTGAATGTACAAGGGGAGCTGTCTGTGATGGATCAGAATCCGGTCTAGCAGGAGAGGGAATACTCGTTATGCTCCAAAAAACCAGGAAAAGCCCTTAGTCAGTTTTTCTTAATCGCGTCCTCTCAAAAGGAATAAAGGTAGCCTACTTCTATTTAGTGTACACTTACATCAGCTAGAATTATCAAGCTTTGAGGGAACTCATGCGTCAGTTAACCAGTTTTTTTTTGTCGTCTCAATGCAGAGTTGAAGAAGCCAGTAAAACCAAGGAACCGTCGGTTAGTCAAAAGGAACTCACACCTCCTCAACCCGCCAAACTGTCGGTCAGCAGTCCTTCGAGCATGTCATCTACTACCCTTGGTGCAACTACAATAACCACTGAGGAGGAGATGTCTGAGGGAGAATTAATACAGGTTAGTGTATCACCCTCCCTCCACTTCCGGGCCACAATAACCGAGAGTAGTCGATCGGAGAGAAGCCTTTCCCAGAGGAATTTTCAACTGAGAGTCGAAGATAATCCGGGATTGGTTTATTTTGCTTTACTTTAGTTTGCTCTGTGATTGGTCCAGAAAACACGCGCCATCCTCTCAACCAATCAGATTCAGTCCTAAAACCAATCGTGACTTGGTAACTTGCGCTTTCCCGCGCTTCCGGTAGTCAGTGGCTTGTGTTCTTTTCCTTTCCTGTGATTGGTTGTTGGATATGGTTTTACGACACTCAATTTAAAAGCGCTCCAAGCTCACGAGATATCTTTCGCAATTCTCCCTTCTATCTCCGATATAATTTTCTTGTAAATCATTTAAGAGAATTGGGTGTTGCGTCAATTTGACCCTCAAGCTTTTTATTCTTATCAAGTATTCGATATTTTGTTGGGGGGGGGGAAAGAGAATTTTCAGTACTAAAAGTCTTGAAAGGAGAATTTTGGCTTAACGTTTTTTGTTACTTGTGGTTTGATAATGCAGCCATATGCACATGTTGGAATGTACAGTGAGGGAGAATTTGCTCTGTCGCCAACCATTGTTCAACTGGCCGCTGAAAAAAAATTGCCAATGGCTGGGGACTGGGATTCAACAAGGTTGGGACACGATGAAGGTAAGAGCTTGTCGCAGAATTTAATTGCACGATTAGTAAGTTACTAATCAATTGCTGGCTTGAGCCATTTTTTACTTACACTTTAATAACATTGCTTTAATCTTAAGATTACCTCGAGCATCGAAATGATTCCTATCAAAGTTACGTACACAGAAGAACTTTGCAATATTATCTTTAGGATGGACTATCAATGTCAATGTCAATGTCTCAATCAATTCTTCGAAGGCCAAATTGAAATTAAGTTTCAGTGTGCCAGTCTGTTTTTATAGTTAAAAGCTTCGATGTTTCCTCCCGTAGACAGCCGTAACGAACTCGTTAGGGTCGCTCTCAATGGCATTTTAAAAGGCGGCCCACAGGACAGACAACATCAACAAGGATCAAGCGACAACAGCAGTAGAAGCAACAGTGAGTCTGAAGACCAGGTCAGCGGTGTCAGCACTATGAGAGATACAGAGGACATCAGAGAGGTAATGGTTACCTATTAGATAATATCATTTGATAAATATTAAGGAGCAATTTACCCCCAAATAGTACGAATTAGGTAAATTTTTCTTTTTCCTTAATTCGTGAGAGAGGGTATAACATCGAAAAGAGCTTTATTTCCTACATTAGGATTCCATCACTGACGTTTCGCGCAGTGAAGGGGAACTCCTTCACGATCCAATGGTAGTTCTGTTGAGCCGCATCAAACACCACATGAAGTCAGCGGAAAATAGTATGGCCAGTGAAGGGGAGTTATCAGGAGAGCGTTCGCGCATGCCCCGTCCAAACCAGAAGAAAAATGTCACAACACATGTTGGAGCAGTGGGTAAGTTTAGAGATAATTACATCGAGATAAAATGGTGGCTTGAAAATACCAGACTACATAAAAAAAAAGCTGAAAATTGATCTTACGTGCTGTCTTTTTCATTTATTTGTAGCTTCCGGGGATCTCTCGCCCGGTGAAGTAGTACGGGAACGTCCCGGTGTATCGAGAGACCTTGATCCCGTCCATGATAATGCAGACAAGAAGCAAAACCCAACAATACCCCTGAACGAAGTCATTCCGACGACCGAAGAAGAGCGAACTATTGCCGACGGAGAGCCGAGCGTCGACGATCGTTCTCTTCACGCGTCAGACTTGTTGCCAGGCACAGTCGGTACAACTGATGCTTTGCGATTTACACAGATTCAGCGTTCTCATCCAAGAGTGATTCAGGTTGAAGAACGCGAGAGTGAGCCTTCAAATTCGCAGCGGACTTACTCAGTTGAGGAGAAGGGGGGAGATGGATCTGCTCTTCTTCGTGATAACGAGAGAGACGAGAACGCTGGTGTTCACGGTTTGGAGGTGACAAGCGGAAGAAATTATGACGTAGAAGCTAAGGAAACGAAAAAGCCGACTAAAATCCAAGTGACAATACCTTCGATTGATGATGTTACTCACGAGGAAAGCTCAGTACCGAGTGATGCGCATGTTTCTATTGATCAAGACACGATTGGTGATGTGTCCTCAATTTCTGGAGGCGATTTTTGAACTGAATATTTATTTATATCAATGTGCAAATTAACTGCAGTGATAGACAGCGTGTGAGATGTGGGTTTTTTTCAGGGTTTTTTTTGTATAGATTTGCTCCAAAAAAATTTGAAAGAATATTTATGCGACATGTGGATTGAGGCATATGAAATAAATAATTTATCTAACTTGTTCCACACTGTTCATTTAATATGCGCAGTTGGGTGGGAATGAGCACGAAAGGTTCCCTTGTGTATGAGGGGTCATCTCCGCCAATATCCTGTTTCAAATTCTGTTATGAAGAACCTGTATGCTATTGCTTTTTATCAAATTCTTTTCTCAATAAAAATACAACCGAAATTGGACCAACAGAATAGAATTTAGGAAGTTAGAACAGAAACTGAGTGAACAAAACGGTATTTAGAACATCCCAGCAAAGCGAAACAGAACGGAAATTGACGATGTCTCAATTTCTGTTCTATTTTCCCGACGAACCGAGTGGAACCTGAGTAAGAGCCAGTTGAACATTATAAGTTTTTCTCCCGATTCTCGCTTAAAGAAAATTTATTCTTGCCTGGTGACCAGTCTGTTTATTAAGAGCTACTGACCGTAAATATCGAGAATCCGTCGACAGTTGCAAAATTTCGTAATTCGTTTTATTTTCTGTAAGGGACCCTTTTAGTGAACCTTTTTCGAAAACTATATAAAAAAAGTTCTATGGCGCTTTTTTTTCTCCGAAAAATCGAAAAGTTCGAATACGCCTAAACGACCGTTGTCCTCCCCGTAAAGCAATGAAAAATGATACAACTTTGGCAACTTTGTACGCTACAACGCGATGCGATCCCGCTTTTAAATTCTGTGTGTACTAGCAGATGGTCCTTTTATTTCGTAGAAAATAGTAATTTCTTGCTATTTTGTTACGTTCAAGTCTGAATAGTGACCTGTTGAAATAAAGTATTTCACGTCTCTTTCGCAGAGGTAAAATAAAGGTCAACCTCAGTGGCCGATGAACAGGTCTGCCATATATACTTACAAATCATAATGTACATCATCGTAAAGCTTTATCCTTGGAATTTAATTCCTCCAATTCTCTGTCTTGGCCTGCTATAAGCTGCACTTCAGGTTTACAAGAGTTTGGGCTATTTTGTCAAAAATGCAATGCGAACCGCTGAACAGCTGTCACGACCCATTTAAAGGCCTTTAAAAAGGTCTTGTATGATATATTTACAAATCTAAATATGTATCTTCTTTAAGCTTTATCCTTGTAGTTTAAGTCCTCTAAGTTTCTTTCTTGACCCGCCATAGGCGGCGCGTCCAGCTTGGAGAGAGTTCGAGCTAAAATGATAAAAAATGTAGTGCGATCCGTTGAACGGCTGTCACGCAAGAGGCTATGTATTTGGTACATTCCTGGCCAAGTTGAAAGCCGAAAGATTGGCTTTGACCTCTTGCGTGACAGTCGTTCAACGGATCTCATTACATTTGTTGTCATTTTTTAGCCCAAACTCTTTTGAAGCTGGACGCGCCGCCTATGCCGGGCCAAGAAAGAAACTTAAAGGACTTAAACTAGAAGGATAAAGCTTTAAGATGATATATATTTTGGTCTGTAAATATATACAAGACCCGTTTAATGGCCTTTAAATGGGTCGTGACAGAACAGGGGCCGGGGGGGTACTCCCTTATAAGGGCTTAATGGGGACGTGCGGCCAGCCAGGGTACGTTTTTCGAGATTTTTGTCTCAAGCAGGGTATCGAATTTATCATTTTTTGTCTTAATCAGGAATATATCGAGTATCCCCCGGGCACAGGGGGCCCACACAGGCGGCGTGTCCGGTCGTTTGTTCGAAATATAAAGAAATGTATGGGAGAATATTGAAGAGTCGTAATATCGTAAACTTATATCAAGGAATTTTTATGTGAAGGCTCAAAATAAATGTAAACCTACCTCACTTGCCGTGTATTGTCGTTTCTGTGATTCTAAATGGCGAATTTGAGCGATTTGGTAGATTTTGCGTGGACTGGTCCCCTGTAGTGACAGCTGTTCAGCGGTTCGCATTGCATTTTTGACAAAATGGCTCAAACTCTTGTAAACCTGGACGCGCCGCTTATGGTGGGCCAAGATAGAGAATCGGAGGAATTAAAATGCAAGGATAAATATTTATGATGATGTACATTATGATTTGGAAGTATATATGGCAGACCTGTTTATAGGCCTCTGAAGTTGACCTTTATTTTACCTCTGCGAAAGAGACGCGAAGTACTTTATTTCAACGGGTCACTATTCAGACTTAAACGTAACAAAATAACAAGAAATTAATATTTTCCAAGAGGTTAACGGATCATCTGCTAGCATACAAAATTTAAAAGTGGGATTGCATCGCGTTGTAGCGTACGAAGTTGCCAAAGTTGCATAATTTTTCATTGCTTTACGGTGGGGGGTGGGGAGGGGGACAACGGTCGTTTAGGCGTATTTCGAACTTCTCGATTTTTCGGAGAAAAAAAAGGGCGATAGAACTTTTTGATATAATTTTCGACAAAGGCTCATTAAAAGGGTCCCTTGGAAAAAATAAAACGAATTACGAAATTTTGCAACTGTCGGCGGATTCTCGATATTTATGGTCAGTAGCTAAAAAAGAGACTAGTCACCAGAAAAGAATAAATTTTCTTTGAGCGAGAATCGGGAGAATAAATTATAATGTTCAACTGGCTCTCGTCGGAAAAATAGAATAGAAACTGAGACATCGTCAATTTCCGTTCTGTTTCGCCAATTTTTGTTTCGCTTTGTTGGGGTGTTCTAAATTCCGTTTTGTTTACTCAATTTCTGTTCTAACTTCCTAAATTCTATTCTGGTACAATGTATATATGAAGTTCATATATTTTGAACTGCGGTATTAGATACGTGTGATGCATGATCCTCGCAGTAGAGAGCGCTATTTATGCAATAGCGAAAATCAGACCTGAAAAAAATCAGGCCTGTACGGGATTCGAACCACTGACCTCTGCGATACTAGTGCAGCGCTCTACCAATTGAGCTATGAAGCCAACTGGGAGCAGGCCGTTAAGTTGATTCGTAATAAACCCGTGATGATAAATCAGATACAATGTATATATGAAGTTGATTTATAATCACGGGTTTATTACGAATCAACTTAACGGCCTGCTCCCAGTTGGCTTGTTAGCTCAATTGGTAGAGCGCTGCACTAGTATCGCAGAGGTCAGTGGTTCGAGTCCCGTACAGGCCTGATTTTTTTCAGGTCTGATTTTCGCTATTGCATAAATAGCGCTCTCTACTAAATTCTATTCTGTTGGTCCAATTTCGGTTGTATTTTTATGAGAAAAGAATTTGATAAAAAGCAATAGCATACAGGTTCTTCATAACAGAATTTGAAACAGGATATTGGCGGAGATGACCCCTCATACTTGTGGGCCTCGACCCTGTGCACCCAACCCAGTCAGTTCTCTTGACTCACGCCCAAACCGTATCGAACGTGTTCAGGAAACCACAAAACATAAACATGGGAAGACAAAAGAACAAAGGGTGAGGATAACAAAGTGAGATTGTTATTTAGAACCGGAAACCTCTTTCGGTTGTCTCCGGTGACACATTAAAATCAATCCAGCTTGGAGAGATAGGAATAAACAGAGAAGGAATGGTTCAGAACAGTGAAAGGGAAAACAGCTTGATTACAAAGTGAACCAGAACGCCTCCAGTAGCTTTTATAGTTATTAGTTATTTGTCCGAAAAGTGAGATTACTCAGATTCTCTTTGTTTTTTGTTTTTTTTTTTACTTCCAGACTCTTGTGCCATTTCTCTTCTCTCTCAAGTTTTTTCCAGTAAACCGCTTTCGAATTACAGCCTAGAAAAAAATTATTTTTAGAAAAGCAAACAACGTCCTTCTTGAGAAAAGTGTGCCACACGCACAGTCGCCCAAATGTCAGCAAGAGCTAGTCTTGGAAAGCGTGAAGAAAAACGTTTTGTAATGCTTGTCAAAGTTCTCGTGTGCTCATTAATGAGCACACGAGAACTTTGATCGACAGCTCACTGTAGTGAAATCACTGGGCTGGGCCTCGTGGTTTCACTTTGAATATTGTTGACGTCATGTCTATGATTATTGAGGTTGAGTAACGTAAGCCGTCGAAACATCGTAGGCATTTTACACCTTTTCTTAAAACTCTTTACACCCTAACATTAGTAGGCATATTCTCCATACTGATCTCTCTACGACAAGGAGAATTGTTAACAATCACGAGCCTCATTAGTTGGCGATCATTTCCTTTATTCCTGTGACCTTAAATGTGTGATTCAGAGGAGATACTCTAAGGAGAAATTACACGCTATTCACTGTTAAGGGTCAAAAGATTATGAGATTAGGAAGTCTCGGACTCACAAGAACAGGAGCTAATCACGTAAGAGTTTCTTCAAGTCATTTGTCACCCCTTAGAGCTCCTCTGATTATCAGGCTGGACGTTCAGTTAGCCCTCAGTTCCGCAATGTTGCAGGCCTCGCATCTAGCTAGTGGTTCTGTTGGTTTAGAGCTTCTCAGAGAATTCCCGCTTTCCCTTTCAAAAAGGCTGGAAATGTGGAATTTACCTCGCAAATCTTGACCTCGCTAAATAGTTTTTATATGTGTAAGTTGCTTTGTATAGACAGCAAGCGGTCTTTCCGCGCATCACTGTTTTATTTAAAGCATATGAAAAGCGCTCTTTCTTCTCGCATCTCGTTTACTTCCATTTTCACCGGACGCACTTAATTAAAGTTTAGATTGTCTGTTGTAAGCCTCTTAGATCGATGATTACGTTCGGCTGGAATGAGAAACACATTTCTAAAAAATGTGAACTCACGAATGCGCGGCAATAAACAACAAAAAAAGGTAATTGCGGGGGTGGGCACTCATACAGGCACGTACACAAATATTTACCAAATCTGTTGCATAATGTCAATGCTTTTTCGAGCTTTCCTGTGAGAAAATGATTGCCTTGGTCTTTCTTGGGGCCTTATTTAGCTATAGAAAGGATAACATTGTGTCTACGTTTTTCATTTTCCCGATTACTTTTCCCTCGCCTCTACAAAACTCCCCTCTAAATTTGGCCAATTCCTGTTCCCACTTTCCCCCACCCCTTCCTCCCGCTTCCCGGCCCATGCGAGAATCTGAAAACAACCAATGGTTAACCGGTTTAGACTTGCGACCAGTTCTTTTTGTATGTTGATCTATCGGCCCATTTCATTGGTCAATTGACGAATCGGACTAGGACAACCGATATTTATTCCAGTTGCGAAACGTTACTTTGATCGTTGGTAATTTCGTCATCCTCTGCAAAAGTCATCTTCCGTAAGTTCTAATCCGGAACGCGGAGTCTTACAAAGGCTTTTATTTTCGCTGCAAAATGGGTGACAGCGACGTAAAATCTACAAAGCCATTTAAACAACGGAAAAGTTTTGGTAAACCAATTTGTCATGTCTTTTTGCATACATGCGGCTTTGTTGATGTTTTGTTAAAATCCTTACGATACAAACCTTAACAGACGCTACTCTTTTTCTCAATCTTAGTCAGTCGGAGAGATGAAGTTGCTGGAATCCGAGCCAAGTTCCCTTCCAAAATTCCAGTGAGTAAGGTTTTGCGAGTAATTTGCAGTTTTGATTTCGGCGAAACAGGCCATCACTTTTCTCTGTAAACAAAACTGTGGGATTCACAATTGTAATATTTTGTTGTAGGTTATAGTGGAGAGATATCACAAGGAAAAGGATCTGCCGCTACTTGATAAGACAAAGTTTCTTGTTCCTCAAGAGCTAACTATGAGCCAATTCGTTACAATCATTAGGTAAGTTGTCAGTGGTAAAAAAGTCCTTCGCGCGTTTGTGATTTTGCAACTCTCATCTATAAAGCGCGAACGTAACTTGCTTTGTTTCATCTGGTACGTTTTGAATAATCATCACGTCCCAACTCGCAAACTAGGATCATTTATGTTAAGTCAGAAAACCACTGAATCAGCCTTCACTTGCAGATAAAATCGCTTAAACGCTTAGTAGTGCACCCTAAAAGTGTAGTTTTTATCCAACTTGTTAGTTGTTATAGGATCCAATCAGTTCGAGACGCGTCTCAGAGCTTTGATTATCGAATTCTGTAAGCTTCTACTCATAGAATCGAGTAATTAAGTTATAAGGTCATGTAAGGTCATTGAAATAGGGTTAGTAAAGATAACTCGACTTTCCACGTGAGACATGTTCATGGATCTTTTTACGCTAAACAAAGGCATGCTATGACTTCATTTATATCCAAACTTCTTGAGGTGCATACGCGAATGATGGTATATAAATTCAATTCAGCAAATAGCCAGGCGAATTATTCTAACCCTTTATCAATTGATCTACAAGTTAAAACAAAGACTTAATGTTGAATTTATATATGGGTATTACAGTAGACTTGTTTAATCTGGTAATATACACATGAAAGGCTTTTGTTCTCAAAACATCATTAAAGTATGTTCTCTGCCAAGAATTTGTCTTGCTCAGACATGTATCATTTTGTTCTTTATATTTACTGTTAGTTTCATTGTCGGCATCGTTAAATAATTGATTTTTCAAGTCTTAACAGGAATGAAATGAGAACAAAAATCGTTGAGTATTTCATGTAGGAAATACAATCTTTGATCGTGACGAATATTGCAATATTTTTTGTAAATGAAACTTAAGCTCTCCGGTTTGTCATATCATGTCAGTACTTAAGTTTTGTTTCTTATCTGTGGTTAGTGACTCTGCCCAAAGACTAAAGGGGAATTTGATACATCTTTTGGTTTTCATTGTGAATGGATTTGTGTACACGTACGATTTTTCACTTAATTTGGATTAGAACATTAGCTGCAAAACATGTTCTAATTGTGTGTTAGTAGTTCAGTGATGAAAATATTTCCAAGAGGGGTCGATAGGAGCAGTGAAAAGCCATATGAAATAAGAACTTTAGAAAATATGTTCTCTACAGGGCTCAGTTGAAAGAGAAAAAAGTGATCCTCAAGCTTGATACATATTGTCAGAACCATTTTCACTTAAGTATGCATTTTGTCCAGGCTGTTTTCCATACATTTCCTAGGGTGCCATGAAGAGCTTCTATAGTTGGTGATCATTTCCGTAATTCTCGTGACCTTGTGGGGTGATATTGTAAGGAGAAATTAGATGATAGTCATTCTTAGGGATCAGTGATGAATTGATACATATAATATAGAGTAATAGAAAGGTATCTTTTCCCATACAACATTTTCCAAGTGTAACCGATGATTATTGTTTTTTTTTTTCAGGAATCGCATGTCATTATCATCAACACAAGCTTTTTACCTCATTGTAAACAACAAAAGCTTAGCGAGCATGTCTATGACAATGGCAGAGGTTTACAAGGAAGAGAAGGACGAAGATGGATTCCTGTACATGGTCTATGCTTCTCAAGAAATGTTTGGCTCATGACAAACATAAAATGAGAAAAGGATACTTACATGGACTTAATATCTCTGGATCATTTTCCTCCTTAGATGGCTAAATTTGTGGAAAGTCCATATTGTGTGTGTTCCTTCCAGACCGGAAAGCTTTTATTGGTAATATGGAGGGTGCAGTTTGCTACCACCAATCTGTAGACAAAAGAGAGTTTTTTTTAACTGTTATTATCAAAAGCAATCAGTCTTCTTAAGCGGTCCATTGGAGAGTAATTTGACAAAATCTCTGTGCTATCATGCCATTTTGCTAAATTTGATATAAAAAAAAGAAGTGAAAGAAATAACCTGGATGACATTTTTCCAGTAAACATTCCATGCAGGTGTGAGGATAGTTTGTATAGCAATGGTATAAATTATTATTTGTAGTTTGTTTTCTACATGACTTAAAACTTGGTCCTTTTATCTGTGTTAGTGGCATGAAGGAAAAAATTGGTCCAACATGACATGTTATGGGAGACAAACTGTTCATTAAACCGTCCACTTATGTGAGTCGTAAAATGAATTTCTCATTTTAGTATCTATACAATTTCAAGAATTGAGGTAACACAGGGGGACATTTTTCAGATCGTAGACAGATTCCAAAATCTGCAAAAATTAAAACTATAATAGTTTTCATGCCCCTCAAAGTCCTGGTCATCTCTTGCATCCTTTTTTATCTCCTAGTTCGCTAATGATTTTTTATTCCTCATCTGAATTCAGATTCACAGGGCAATGTTGAAGTCAAGAGAAATAAACTTTTACTTCATTCTTGTTACTTAGAAAGGATATATCCATGAATGTTGTTACCTAGGCATGCTAGGAGTTATTTAAATTTATTTTTAATTAAATGTATAGCATATAGGAAGGTTATGAAAATTATGAGAATGTAGCTCTTTTTAAGAAGGGGTATTATTCAATTGATGAGACCCTCTTGCTGCCATCTGTTTAGCCTGTGAGCAAGGTCGTGTTTGGGTTTTACCATTTGGCTGTTTTTTGCCCTTTCAGGGCACAGCCCCCTTATTCCATCATCAGTAGCTGTGATAGAAAAAGTTATTGAAACCCTTGTCATCATGGTAATCATGAGGCGTTTAGGTTCTATAAACCCCAGAGAAGAAATTTTAAATGTATTTAACTTTCTGCTATGTATGGTTTGAGAGTTTTGTTTTAAATGCATGGGTTCAGTTTTCATTAAAGTTGTGTGTATGTAGATCTTGTGATAGATTGTGTGAGAAAAATTGTGTTTTTTTTCTGGTATGTTTTTCTTGGAATTTACATAACTCTCAGATTGTATGGGTATGATATTCAGGTAGTATTGCCCCTACACACTGTTACTGGTTTACAGTGTAACTTAACAAAATGCTGTCTTTGGCTCACAAATTTCTCATTAACTTGTTTAGAGAGGTGAGTTTGTGAGAAATACCTAATATACATTACAGTTACCTAGAAAAATATATGTGTAATTTATTGTCTCCCATTTTTGTTGTTTCTTTCATGCAGAAGCTAACATTTAAGTGGTATTATCAATGTAATATAGCTTGTGTCACGTGATTTTCTGACTTGACTCAAGTAGTGGACAATGTTAGAATGAAAAATGATGACAATTGAGAAATGTTGAATTATAGTCGGCAGGTAAAACATGTCTCTTGTTTTTTAGTTTGTCTTTTTTAATCACGTACACAAATAGTGGGTCGCTGGTGAAAATTCATCAATTAAAGCCTATAAATTAGAGAGCACTTTTCTAAATATCAGCAAAGGTCCAGTAGGGATAGTTAATCTATTGTCAATAAGATAGGACTTTTGTAGTAAAACCATTCCAAATCTTTATTTAGCTTGCCATGTAGTTTCGAATTTGAAATGTCCTTTTATTGTTAGTAAATGCAACTCTATAAGGGTCACTGATCTTTTTATGTTTTGGAATATTCTGGAGAGGATATCCATAGAAGTCTGATCTTTGTAACACTCTCAATGGTTCTTCGCGTCAACATTTGAGACTGCGATTTGAAAATTGTAATTTGAAATGCGTTTTTGATTTCCTATTCATTCATTGCAGTATTGTTTCTTTGTTTTGTTGACATCCAACCCCTCGCATTTTGTCACGGTCAGTGTTTTGTCTTCAAGAGATTAGTATTCGGTCTCTCGGCAAGAGATATGTAAATAACCCACTTGTTAAATCGGGTTTTTTTTTTGTTTGTCTTCTCATCATGAGATGATTTGTGATAGTCGTGAAATGGCTAACTGGATTTTAACACGTGCGGTTTATGTAGTTTCATTCGCTTTGATCTCGACCCTCGCTGTAAATTCGCGTAGTCAAAATGCCATTCACCCGCGAAACACAAGCACAGAAACTTCGCAAGAAGGTAAGGAGATTTTTTCATGATAAGCTCCCTCTAAGGAATTTTAAAGCATTTTCATGGGATCACAATGTCAGGGTGTCATTTTTGAACACCATTTCGCGAAATATATTCGCTGTATTCGGCACATATCGCGTTTAACTTATTTGTTCCGTGCCTATTGTTTTGCGCTCTTCAAGCAATTAACACATAGTTGAAAATGCCGCAAGCTGTCTTGTATGTTTAATTTGTTAAACGACTGATCTTTCCTTGGCGAGTGAAAACTATTCGAGGCTCAACGCAGAGAAAGTGCACAAAGGAAATTGACAAGAAAACTTTGTGTCCTCTATTGGTTTCACAGTATTTGAGGGCGCCAAAGAATTACCGAACTTAGTCCAGGAGCTTACAATATTGTTCCCCTCTATTAATTCGTCTTAAAGGATCGCAAAAATACCTTAAAAGGTTGTTAGCCTTAAGACAGATTGATTAAAACCTTTGCATTGATTTTTTTTTTTTTTCACGGTATGAAAAACTCTTTAGTCTTTTCTTAGGCTTGTTTTAGCTTTTAGTCTAACATTCAAAGCACTTATGTGAACTTTGGAAGTGGAATTCTTTTTAAATAAATTGCCTATCTTTTTATTTCCAGATCAATTCTGTCAGCTTGATAGCAGAGATATGAATTCACGTAATAGGTGGTCCCCTTGTAAAATACCCTGTAAAAGGGATGATGATTGTATAAATTATGGAAGGCACATTTGTTGTCCAGCTCTGCCTGGGAGTAGTTGTGATGGAGAGTGTTTGTTGGCAGATATTAAAGCTGACAGTAGCAATAAGAGTAAGTGTGTCTTGACAAGGTTTTCATCAAGGGAACAGGTAGTTTTATTATGGCCATATACATCTGAGGTGAAGGTCCCACAAAGTTCAAACACCTAGTACCCTTTGAGGACACTTTTAAGGTGTGTGTATCCATAGAGTGGGTCAGCAAATGGGTGAGGTGTCAGAGAAACTGAATGCTTCTATAGAGTGATGCCAATGCTTAACTGCTTTTGTGCTCGCAAAATGTTCATATTGTGTTAAGAAATATCAAATTAAAAGGTTTTAAGTCCCTCTTTGCGTATGTTTTGGGCAGTGCAAGGTGGAAAAAGTAATAAGCGGAATTCCTTCATAACACAGATGAATACTAATTGCGTGCTGTTTTTGCAGTTATTAATGATAAACCATTAGTGACTCGTCTGGCCTAATTTGCAAATTTTTTTTTGTGAGCAAAGCCAGCTATGGAGCATAGGCAGGATATTGACTTCAACCTCGGAGAAGAACATTATCTCATTCAACCTTGATAAGCACTTGATCAGATTGTAGTCACAGACACAAGTATCTTATCATGTACTTTATAGTTTCTTCACTCTCTCCAGGGTGTGTAGATGTTCTTACCCAAAAGCGTTACACCTCTGGTGAAACATTCATGCAAGGAGACAAATGTTGTACCTGCAAAGGTGGGAGAATAGAGTGTACTTCAAGTAGAAATACTTGTCATTCAGGTAAGAAAATTACTCTGGACCATTTATAAACTATTTTCTCTTGACTTACCATCCAAATTTGACCTCTCTGGAGTCCAATAAAGTAAGGAATTGACTCACCCACAGATTTAAGGGAGGGGCTCTGATCTGGGAAATGGATTGCTGAAGACTGCATGGCCCCACAAGGTCATATCTTTGGATTGTTCCTCAAATCATCTTGAAAATAGAGCTTTTTAATATTTGTTTCCTGAAATCAGTCCAAAAAACCTGTGTTTCAACCCTTTTTGGTTTTAAGGTTTAATCTTTAACCCCTGCCTATTCTATGGAGCCCGCAATGATTTTCCAATGTTTTTTTTTTTCTTCTGTTGTTTACTAAATGGTCAAAGTTGGCTCAATCAGTAAATTACTAAAATGATAGAAAAAACATCAGACTTCTGCAACCTTGAATTAATAATCATCTGATATACTGAAACATCTCTTGCTGAGAAGCAAGACAGTATGAATTAATATTTTTTCAATATTTAAATTCTAGGCTGTAAGAGGAACTTACAATATTTCAAGCATGGGGAATCAATTCCTTCTCAATCCTGTCAGAACTGGTAAGAGAAAAGTGGTAATTTTATCCTTACCAAATTATTTTAAGACCTGTGTCAAAATTCCACTTCCTTTTCTTGACAAGCTGTCGAGAGCCTTCAATTCGTGATGTTAATAAAAGCCAACTTCTCTCAAGAGAGGAATTAGGCAACAGAATATTGCATTTGCTCAAGTATATCGACTTCAGAACCAAACTGTTAAAATTGATACCTGCGGACTAAGTCTGTAAATAACTAGTGGATGAAATAACTATTTAATAGTTACCAATTATATCATGATCACATATCTTAATTTTTTACAGTTCTTGTCAGAATGGCTCAATAATTTGCTCATCTGATGTGAACTGTGTACAAGGTGAGCAAAAAGGTTTGCATAATTGCCTTCTGCATTCTAATTAACATGCAATTTTTAAAATCAAGGTAACCTTGTAAATTGTGACACCAACAATTGACTAGCATCTAATTTCTCCTTACAATATCACCCTTAAGTCATACAGGTTCTGAGAGTAAAGAAAATGATCACCAACTAAAGAAGCTATAATGCTACTTAAACAAATTTCTGATTGACACCCTTTTTGAAGTGATGCTGCCGCCAGTATCTTGTGATCATTGATTGATAATTAGCGAAATAGTTAGTGGGTATCAAAGTGATAAAAACAAAAACAAGGGTGCTGATCACAGAATTTTGTCTATCAAGGTAAATGCAATTACAGAGGAAACTTGTATGAGGAAGGAGAACTTCTACATCTAAACAGAGGTTGCAAAGAGTGGTGAGCTGCACAGTCAACTGCAAATTAAATTATTGATTGTAATTTTTAAGCGAGTTGTGTATTTCTTCAATAAGTTACAAATTCTACTCATCCTGTCTTTTCCTCCCAACTTGTTTAATTTTTAGTTACTGAAAGAATTACATTTACTTGTGGAAAAGAAAAAAACTAAAACTTGTTTCTAGAATGTCCCTGTTACACTTTATAGGACAGCAAATTTGGGGTGTTGTGTGTTGAATGATTTTAACAGTAATGGCATTCAACCCTTACAGTCTTGTTTATTAGTTTGGCCAGTTTTCCCTTTACAGTATATGTTTTGAAGTAATTTCTATGAAAGCAAAACTGACAGGAAAAGCCTCTTTAACGCTAGAATTTACTAATTAGCTATTGCTGTTTTGTCAATCTTTAGTGTTTGCCGTGCTCGCAGATGGAACTGTGTGGCAATAACTTGCAGTGCTGGTATGTGTGTACTTGGTGGAAAATTTAGTTTTTAATGATGTAAACCAAGAGTGTTCTCAGACTGTCCTGTAAAATGACATGAGCAGAAACATCTTCACTGAGACAGTAACTGTTAGGTTCACAATAATAATTATTTTCCTAGGAATTGCAATCCAGTCTGGGGCTTTTGAATCTCTTTGTCCAGAAGAAAATGACAGAGTGGCTAACTTGCATAGTTTTGTATCAAATATACTGAACATATTTATTTTAACAGTCCATACAGATCCTAATCTAGAAGACAGGAAAAAAATCTGGGTAACTTTAAAATCAAATTCAGTTTACTTTAACTGATGGCTGAAAGAGTTTCTATATTTTCTATTGCAGTCCAATCCAAGGGAAACGCGCCTACAAGTCATCGTGCAATGTATTTGCAGATAGCCATGGCCTCCTTGCTCGCACACACCCTTAAGGTTAATTTCTGTCCATAGGGAAACCATGGCAATAACTAAGCTTCGCGAAAATTCGTTGGAGAATATTTAGTTATGATCACTTGGAATCGTTCGTAGACAACGGCATCCAAATCGTGATGATTGCATGGGTCGTTTGCGATCACTTTATGCCTAGTAGAAAACGACTTATCGTGCATTTTAAAATATAAAAATCTTTGCCATGTTCGTGTTTGATGAAGCAGTTGTGAGAATAATATTTGGGGAACATCTGGCGGTGTGAAACCGAAGACTTTAGCTCTCTCTATAAGCTTACAACAAACCTTACAAACTTTTGCGAGAAATATGCATGGTCTATGGTTCATTTAAAGAAGACTGGTTTAATACAACGTGCGCTAAACGTCTTATTGCTCAGAACGTGAAAAGATAGTGGTGATAGTGTCCGAGAAGTTTAAACCGCTGGTGCCATTTAGCAAAACCTGTTATAACGTAGGAGTGGCGTGTAAAAACAAGTTTAGACAATTTTAAACATCTTGTGTTGATGAAAATGTACTAACTTTCTATTTATTTATTTATTTATTTATTTATACATTTAACATTTATCTAGCTATTTGTAACATTTTTAAAACACAGCCTGTTGGATGTATTCTGCAAAGCTTTGTACATAGCATTTGTGAAATTGTTGAATTAAATAATTGAAGCGTGTTACAAAACAGGGTAATTGACAAGCAATCTTTTTCCTCGTTAGTAGCTTTTAAAATCTAGATCTGTAGCCAGAAAAACTCTCAGTATTTGGCACGCAGGCGTGAGCGGAGGCCATGCCGTGGAATTTGCTCGCCAACTGATACGTATTGGAAGGTCAACTTAGTTTAAGCTATTTTTCATCCACTTTCTTTCATTTGGACCGTTCACCGAATTAAAAAGCCTCTTCGAATTTGTTATATGGAGAATCAACACAAAGTGCTCTCTAAAAAGTGCATTTTTATTTTTATATTCGTTTTTCTTTCCTTTCTCATAGCATTGATAAAATTTGTCTGCGTAAAATTTCCTATTTAACAGTGTTCCTTTTGTTTTCACTTGTTCTTTTTTTTTAAATTGTGAGATTTTCAGCGGGGTAAAACTCCGAGTAACAATGCTTCTGCAGAGAGTTTTAATTGTAGGCTACAATGAATTGCTTCCGCCAAACTTCTCTCAGTCCTATATCATCTTCCGAAAGGTCCTTTTAAAAAGACGAGTCTCTTTGTGGTACAAACGGTTTTATCCATGGATGGAAACGGTTTCTGTCCTTAAGGGCGTTAAAATACCATGCAGATCTTTCGTTTCATTCTCCGAGCGAGGTTACACGAAGCGAAACCTCAGGGAACTAGGGGATAGCATTTGATGCGTTCCCATGAATCATCTCTTCTTAGCTGACTGGGTATATTGTCCACGCAACTCCAGGATCACTATTAACAGTCTGGCGTAATCAAAGCGGCATTGCTTGTCAATGGTGTCATAGAGCTGTCTCGAGTAGATACTAAGGAACTCTTTCTTGATGTAATAAAGGTCAATCTATTAAGAAAAGAAACACCAATTTTTTACACGAGCACGCTCACACGGGGGTGAGGGGGGAGCGTCCTTTCGTTGAATACTCTGTGAGAGGGGAATGGAAAAGGGATAAATCGTGTAATGAAAACACTGATTGAGGTTTACAACAATTGAAAAACAAATCAAGGAGGGAACAGATATACAAACAAACAAAAAAATATTCACTTCGTTGGCTACTTTTTCCGTTATTAAAAAATTGATTGATATATCAAAATGTTATCAACACTGAAAGCTTCTGAGCTTTAATAGACCATTATCTGTTATTTATTATCTAACGAAGTACTTTAGAGCTCAAAATGTTCTCCCATTGGAAACAAATTCAGACGCATACCTCAGACCTAGAAACCATCATTCTTAACATCTTGAGCTCGTCAGCTTTGGCCATTTCTTTTGCGAAATATCTTGGAGGGTTTTCAACTAACAAAACTGCAAAAACAATGAAATTCCTTGATATTTTAATCAATTAATAACAAAAGCATTTGTCAGTGTAATCTCAAGGGGTGGGGACAACAGGTAAGAACAAATGCCGCACGATGTTAACTGGTTCTTGAGTTGCAAGTAAAAGTTGTCATTAACCGCTGTTCGGCAAATGAGCCAGCACTCTTCCCCGAACCGGGAGGACTGACGAACAGCAATCTAGAGAAAGGCGTTTTAAACAACCTACTATCTGCATTGACTTTCCACAGTTTTTTTAGTTCTATTTTTGCCATTTCAAATGATTTTTTGCCGTATGCTATTCAGACGTCAGCATGATTCTTACTACATAGCAAGCGGACAATCTTACAAACAAGGCTCTCAAACATGGCATAAAAAAACAGATATGACGATCAGATTTTTTTTTTCAGCAAATTTCGGAAATTTTGGGTTTTTGAGCTCTTTTCTGATGCGCTCGTGAGAGGGCTCAGAAGTATCCGGGGAGTCGAACGCGATTCACCTTTTTTTAAATTGTCAGTGCTGTACTTACCACAATCTTTTAAGGTGTCCCGCGCTTGTTTCGACAAATTTGAACAGTTCTCTTCAATAAACTGTCCAATATTGATTCTATAAAACTCCAGAAAAGCAGCCAGTGTCTCTCTCAGTTGATTTCTGCCAACTTGCTCGCACAACAGAGACAAAATATCGCCATCATTGAACAAAAAGGTAGCTCTTTTTCTTGCCGCTTCTCTATCAGCTCTTTTGTTAGCAGAAGATCGATCGACATTGAGTAAAGACGTCACAATATGTCTGACATCTTCGTCTGGTATCTTGGACAAATCATCTTCCAACGTCTTGTTAAACTCTGTGCAAGGAAGTTAGGTTGATTTGGCGATATTAAACATTTGTATAAGTGTTTTCTGCTTGCTGAAGATAATTACTATTGTTTGACTTGAAAGTGAAGGCAGGGGGAAAATGCGTCACGTGCTATAGCTATTTTATTAAAACCGAGTCCCGCAGAATAAACACCGGGTCTTTTCAGTCGGCCGTGTTCAATCAGGATACGGTTACATCTGTTGTTTTTTAAATGAAGACAACGAAACCAATGATAGCAATTGTCATTGTAATCATCGTTGAAATGCTAACTGTGATAATCAGATGATAATAACAACAAGAATGACGATAACGGTGACGATGACGATGACGATGACGATGATGATGATGATGCTTATGATTATAATAATGATAATAAGAGTGATAATCAGGACCAAAACTTTAATTAGTTGTCAGGGTTCGTCAGACAAGATATTTATTCTTTTTAAATAAGTGACGTGAGACACCATTTTTTCAGGTCAGACTCGATGTACATGAGGCCGAATCAGTTATAAAATGATCTAAACCGAAGATAGTCAACAACCTTTGGGTTTAATTCTAAAAAACTGCAGTTCGAGTTACTCACCGGTAAAATACGTTTCCTTCATGTCCATCAAACTGTCATTTCTACTTGATATTATAATGGACACGACTGTATCGTAATCTTCGCTTTCAAACGCTTCCTTTAATGAAGTGACATCATACATCTCCGGTGTGTGCAATAACGCTTTTACCACTGTCATAGCCGCCCCATTCAGCTCTGTTTCAAGCACAGCTGCTAAATCCTGTTGACCGTGAAAACGAAAACTTCCATTTTAAATAGACTTATAGGTAAGTCGCTTGGCTGGGCACAGACTCCACCAAAGTACTCAAACAACCTCGGCGATCAGCGAGTGGTTCAAACGCGTTTTAACAACTAATGAAGGGGAAGCAGCCTACAAACTATTGTTTGATTAAATGTCTTTATTTTTTTCACTTTTACCAAATAATTTCCTGAATATGTTGCAACTGCAAATCAGCGTAATGATGCGCCAAGACAGACGGCTGAGCAAACCGATGTAACTAAAAATAACTCTGGTGATATCAACCTATCCAACACCAATACCCTCACCGACACTCCCCCCTTCCCTCGTCACACATTTTCTCCTGTACTCCAGAATCGTTTTACATCTTAATATCAAATCCTGGACTTCTTTACCTCATTAAATCGTTCCTTGTACACCCCCAGCAATTTCCTTCTCTGCCTGTTGGTAAATCTGGCCAAGACTCTGACGATGGACATTTCATCCGTGCCCAGTCCTTGGAAAGCGTCACGCAGTACATCAGCTTCTTTGTCCCAATTGGGTGGTTCCGTGCTGATGGCCTCTCTCCTCTCCTGTTAGGCGAGAGAACAGAAAAGTACCACTTAATCCAAGCTGGCGTTCAAACCACTTCTTATGCGAAGCTTTACGTAACTATTTTAAGGCAGTTTTTAGTTGATGCGGTAGTGGTCCACGATCGCCTAGTATTTTTGGCTTTATGACTCGGTAGCTGATAAAGTGACATCCTTTTTGATACTTAATTGATATCTTTGAAGTTGTGCTGCACGAGCTACAGAGGAATTAAGGAAGTGTTTATTTCCTAGAAAAGCGGGTAATAATCATGTACTGTTGTTTGCGTTACCTTTTTTTAGATGAGATTCCCACAGGAAAAGAAATTGCTGCTGCATTATACGAAGGGATTTAGTTCGTCATTCATGTTTTCTGTGCAAAGAAATTTATCAGTCCTAAAGTACTGAACCGATCGAGGCCAGCAATATGCATTTGTATACATATTTGCGATGATCAAAGCAAGAGAGGCAAAAATTCAAATAAACTCAGTAAATTTGTCAAATTGTGTAAATCTTAATTGATTTTATTGTCTCTGTGTACATCGTAGTCTGCTAAAAGATTCCATCAGTGTCGGTTTAATTAGTTAAGTCCAGTCATTTGGTATTAGTGCAAAAACATGACCAGCCTAGAAGGATCTATTCCGGGAAAAAAAAAGGTTATATGAACAATTTCCCCCTTTACAACTGAAACAGGCGTAAACTCAATCTATATTCACAGTCACTTACTCGAATAATTCCTTGTGGCCGCTTATTTAGCATATCTTGAATCTAAAGGAAAACTGAAGAACTCGCAATCGATTTGAAGATAACTTCACGTAAGAAGTAAATGGGCTATTTTTCTTGGTAATTTCAACTTAAGCACGAGAACTTCTAAGTGAAGCCTTTTGATTCAAGTCGGACTTCAGAGAAACCGGAAAAACTTTTCAGTGATATTCATAGACAACTGCTTACTGCTGACAGGCGCCAGTTTCGCTTCCTCAGTTAGAGAATAATTTCAAATTGTCGATTAAGCGTGATTTCCTTTTTGCAAAAGTGTTCGTTTTCTTACTCAGTTTTACGGGAACTTACAGATTGGCAGAGTTCGTCTTAACCATACCGTCGTATCTCGCTTTTGTGTTTTCAGCTATGACAACAATACAGTGAAGAATCGATATGGAACGATCGCGAAAGTACAGCTAAAGTACAATAATGCTGTTTAATTTTCAGCTCTAAAATTTGACGATGGTTGAGGAAAAGCTTAAGCCAGTGTGGGAAATAATGTGAACAGTTCTGATCAACAGCTGAACACGACAATGAAGGTTTGAAGTCGTCCATAGTTGCTGTGTAATGAACGAGCTTGATCTGTTACTGGTAAGTTCCACACGTCTAGGCACAACTCCAAAACACTTCTAACTTGCTGCTCAGTGAAGAAGCGGTAATATTTGGTTCAGAGCTTATGGCGATGAGAATGATATAAAAAGGTGACTTACGTGTGATTCAGATTTGTCGCCTTTAGACGCGGCGCAACCCATTTTCTTCCACCTCTGAGACTTCCTATTTGGCGAGCACTTAGCGACTGCAGTGTGACTAACGAGAGATCGTTCTGTCTGACTGACCTCTCGTCTCGTGACCTTGAGCGTTGAGAATATGTTAGGTACAAGACTAAGTATAGACTTTACGTGCGTCACACAACAAGTGTAATTTTGTAATTAATGTTTATTTGTAAGCAACGAACATTTAACGGAGTTCTCGCAAATTATTTCCTTTTGTTTTTTTTACTACAAAAGATCCTTACTAAACAAAACGAAAATGAAACTACTTCATTCGAGGTTACCTAGCGCAGTAAGTGTTTTCAGTTGCGCACCAATTTATTATTTTTTTATTTATTGTGAATCAATTCGCAGTATAGTTGCGTTGTTAAAGGAGCAAACACTAAGATTGACGTCACAGGTTAAGGAGTGAAAACCATCTCTTCGAATTCAAACAAATGGCGTACCTGTAATTTCTGTCGCGCATTAAGACAGACAATAGTCACCTGGTGAAAAATAGGTGCAGCACGTTCTGCCTGCTAGTTTTTCCGTTCCAATCAATTTAGTTCGATTACTAACTGTTCTAAAAATAAAACTGTCTTGGGAACAAGAACACTTGTCGTTTAAAATTTTCTTCCTCTTAGACCGAAAACCTTTTCAGTAAATTCATATAATAACTTTATATGGCTGCTTTTTTTGCTAGTGTCAGAAAAAAATGCTGACACAAACGGTTACAAATCGCGCAGAAAATCTCTTAGACAACCAAGTAAACTGCACAATCCTTTTCAATCCGGGCATATCTCCTGCCTCTCAGTTTTACTTTTCAATGTTGTACTGATTCCGTTGTACTTTCGTTGAGAGAAGAGTGAGTCAGTGGTAAAGAGAAAGCAAGGGTGGTTTCACGGTTTTTTTCTCTCTTCTTTTTGTTTGTTTCTATTTTTTTTTTTCCACATTTTGGAATGTATTATTAAAAAATCCCTTAAAAACAAATTAGGTTCAGCAGTTTAAGTCCGCGATATAGTGCAGTGAACTCTAGTTCCTGACAGTAAATCACTATTATCTGAGTTGGTTTTATCATTATGGTACAACATGGCAAGCAGACAGAGAAATGCTGAGTGAACGCGAGCTAAACAACTTTTTTTATAGCTTTTGTTTTATTTTCTTTCGAGTGCAAAACGTGACCAGAATTGACAATATCGAGGTACACTGACGTATCAGTTATTCATACAATTTCTTTGATTTGGTTACTTGTTCAAATGCACTCTTCCGTCTATCATTTTCACCTGATCACATCAATTCGCTTCATCAAACTGGTTATAGCTGTTTGGAACTTAGTCATCTGTGAGTAAACTAACTCGTAGAAGCGTTATCGAGGAATTATTTGGAGCAAAAGGCGTTTGTATTGTCCGGCCGGACCAACGCTCAAGGTCTTAAAATAATTGAGAAGAATATGCTGCCTTTCTATAACATCAAGAAATGGTTAGATATTCTAGTCTTCTCGGATAAGGACGAATAAATGGAGGTCCCGTCTCCTGCAGGGCTAGGGGTAGGTGACGTTAATTTCCCATGCACGCACGAGATTACAGTGTGATGGATGTTCTCCCCTGGGGTGGGATGGGTGGGTTGAGGGCCGCAGGTTAGAAACCTGTAACAGGTTATTGCGCTTCCCTCTTTAAATAAAGTAAATTAAAGTAAATTACATAAAGGTATCAAAGAAACTATGATTGTTACGGAATCGTTTTGACGAGTTTTGTCGATGGAATAATTTTACTCTATCGTATCTTTTTTACTAACATTGTCGAAGAGTGCAACAAAACTATGTTGAACCGCCGATAAGCTAGCATTGAAATTTTCCTTAACAAATAGGATCGTCGAAAAAGAAACTGCCAGCCTAAAAAAAGGCCTCATGGGTATTCCCTTAGTGAAAACTCTTTAGCTCGATTAATCTGCAACTATGAGCAGGCGGCAGTTTTTGACAGGCAGAGAATGAACTGACCGGAACGCTAACAAATCACCTTTTAATTAAAAACAATTAGACACAACAAAATTTGAACCTGTTATGGTTCGCTTTGATCCAGCAAGCTACAGCTATGAAAAGAAGGTAAGTTGAAATTTGCCGACTTGGTTTTTTTCCGAAGACACCTGTGCATGACTATTAAAGTTTGGAAGTACTGCAACGTTAATACACCTTAAAGAATCTAGCTTTTGCATATCTTATGGGGCTATACGCTTAACTAAGCAGAGCGTGTGATTACTGATACTGTATTAAACAGGTGATACTTACATGATGGCGGTAATTGCAGTCAGTGGATGTGGATACTGTACAGCCCATGCCGACTCAAAAGCAGGAGAAGATCTTGATCCGAACAACGCAGCTTCTGAAAGGCACTGTTCCTCGTATTCACGATGACGGAACTTCTCGTTTGCAAAGAATGTAAATGATGCATGCAAAGTAGTTCGCTTGCGTCACTGAGAGTTAGTAACTCGTTCTTCTATTCAACTATTTGTCAGGAGGCGGGGTTCGGTTTGTAAGACTGTTTCCTGTTTTTTTTTTTCACTCACTCCAATTTTATCTTCAATTTATCAAAATGCATATCTTAATAGAAACTCCAAAAGTTCGTCAAGGCACCTATCTTTTCTACATTTCTCGAATTTTATCGATTCAGATTTCCGGACGTTTGGGAAAGTGAGTGACTAATTCTAAGTGAAGTCTTAGTACAGTTTAATTAAAATAACTTCGTTGATGGAGGAAAAATGTTTTAAAGGATTAATTATTGTTTAGATAAATGGCTAGGAGCGGCAGTTCATGGTTCGTGATTTTTCCTTTATGGTCGAGTTCACTGAAATTACTCAATGTTCTAAAATTAAACGCCTGGGTAAACCCCTGTTTGATTTGAAAGTTCCTGCAGTTCTTCCGCTCCTAACTTGCGTCAATGAAGAAGTATTCATTCTCCTCATCGCTTACCTCCGATGGAGCGATGCTCTGGCTTTGAAAAGAGCTAGGAAAAAATACATCGATTCCACAACGCCATGCAAATTAAAAGATTAAAGATAAGTGCTGGTAGATTTTTACTCTGTCCACATTCGATACATGTATAAACTTGAATCACCACCAAGGCCTATCAAAATTACCCACTTGATGCTATGGTTGCGATAATGTAAATGTTGTTGCTGATGATGATGGCGGAACGAATTCTAAACTAGAGGTCCCGTCCGAAAATCAGAAAAAAAAATTCAGGCTTTCAGATGAGTTTCAACTGATCTAGTACTCAATATAACATGCAAAAATTAATTATTTATCTCTTGCGACTGTATTGTTTACAAAAATGAATCAATATTTTTCGCTTTAAAACAGTGATAAACTTTTCCTCAAACCGGTCCTAGAAGGTGTTAGATTACATTATTCGGTTGTGAATTACTCTTCCTTCCCCGATTATATTTTGATCATCAATTTTTTAATAATAACAGCACTAGTTTTTGAGAAAAGGAACGAGATCAAACTCGGTTCTAATCATGATTGTAACCAAGGAAAATATTTCAGGGACTGTCAAGCTTAGTTGAGGCAAGAGAGGATATCTTCTCTTTAGAATAGGTCACTATCTGGAAAAGGTTTAAGTGGAAAAAAAATTAAAAAAAAAAAACAGTTCGGGCAACAAAAATGCACCTTCTGAATAAAAATATGATGGACTATATATAAAGCTCAGCGTTTCCGCTAGAGATACCACTTGTTTTGGTGAGTACGAACATATGTTTTGTAACACTTTGCTGATGACAGAGGATTTTTTTCATGATCAGTATGAATCGTGTTAATTGTAGAAGTACGTTAGGAGTGCTTGTAGGTCTAATAAATCCCTAAGGGACTACTAGGATATTTAAGATTTTGTAGGTTATGCAAGAGCCACTCTAAGGCATCTCACTCAACTTTACTTTATTTTTTACTAAGTGCTATATTTTCTTTATGATGATGCAACGCTCGCTGTATCTTGGGTCATTAAAAGAGATACCCGCTCCTGATGTTTACTGAGGTTAAGTTAAAAAATATTTGTTAACTAACAATCGTATGTTCAGGGTATTTGAATATAACTTGTGTTAAGATTGTACAGCTGTCGGTTTGTATTATATGTAAAACGCAATGAAATTTTGGAAACTTACCTGCACATGACGATAAGGGTTTTCACGTGTGGAAACTGTACAACCCATATTTTCTGTTTAAGATGAATTCACCCGAACCACAATTTACACTGAATATTTAGTAGAGCACGCAGGGATTTAGCTCAGCTTGTTCCCAAGCAACTCTTTTACCAACGGTCAATCCGTCTCGGGTCATTTGGAGGGAGGAAAAACGACAGTGAAACGCCATGTCATCAAAAAGTAAATTTTTGATAGGGGCATACGTACCTTCCCTAGACTTTGCGACTTTAACACACCAAATAATCATTCTTTCATCCCAGCCACATTACACTTGTGTAGTTTAATCTAGTATTCCATTCGCCATTTCTGTTTTACATCAAAAGATGACAACCACTGCATTCTGTGATAGTTTTATCTAAAGTAGTCACAGATAAAACACCGATAAGTATATTCTTGTGAGAGACAAAAAAATACAAGAATTTTGTAAGAGCTGCTCGTTTTATTTTCAATAAGCTTAGGGAGAGAGAGGAACTGACGAAAAACAACCAGCATATTTATACATCTAATTGAAATAATGTTGGAAACGAGTAGCAAAATGAGTGTTTCGTTCGCTGAAGTTCTGTTAAATTGCATCGGAGCTTGAGAATTACTAAAATCCTAGAATGATTTATACCCCTGTAAGAGAATGTATTCATATTTTCCCGACTCCTGATTATAATTTCATAATTTTCTTTGTTTCTTGGCAGCTTTTACCGCCATAGACACAAGAAGCCCAAGAGGTTCGTTTAAACTGCGAATATGAACATCACACATGTTGAAGCCAGCTCATGATTTACCGCCCTACAACCATTTCTGAACGGAGTGAAATTCTAGCGAACGAACAACAAAACACTATTTATTGTGTAAAATTTGTCTTCGACATTTTGTTGGATAAAATATCATTCATACATTCACTGTTGGAGTTATTCATTGAGTTTGTTTCCGAAATGTGTTTTAATTCACGATAAGTCGGAGGGACTACATTTTGGGCTTTTGAAAAGTCAACGAGAAAAACTATGTTCAAATGTTTGTATTTATCTCTAGTAGATTTAGGAAAGCTCTAATCTGAGAAGAAAATTGGCTAACTTTTTAAGTTTTTCATAGAAAGGATTAAGCTCTTACACAAGAGACTTTCAATGAATTATTCGGTATGAACTAAAAATGTCTTATTTAATAAGCCAAGCTGGAAAAAATATGCCACTTTCAAACAATTAAAGTTCCCTAAGAACACATCCTATTGCATTCTTTATACTTGTGTCGATAGGCGCTTAAAAGGTATATTCACGTACAATCAGGTGCGCTTGACTTAACCTGCTCTGAGGTATCTGTGAATTCTTCCACCTAGACAACGTTTGAAACCTGTACACCATCTCAGCATTCTAGCATCATGATGTTAGACAAAGTAAATTTTCTCTAAAATTTCGCGCCAAAATTAAGGAATGATTTGACGCCTTGACATTAGTATTTTGAAATATAATGTATTTAATGCTGTGGTAGTAGCCATCCCATTTTGATAATTATGAAGCTATTTACTTCCTTTTGAGAAGATCAACTTTAAAGAAATTTTGGGGAGTTTCAGACTAGTGTCTGATGAAGGTGTCTAACTAAATGGGTGTAGCAGCCGCCTTGAGCTACCTTACAATGCATGCTGAAATTATTAAACAGAGCGTTTTTCATTGCACTGAACAGCTGGTCTTAACGATGATAATTATCTGTAAAAGCTATATATGAGATCGTCGGACGTGTTTGGTGTTACATTACCGACAAAACAAACTCAAAATTAAACTGCAAATGAATAAGCGGGGTGAGTTTTCGTCGGTGGGGGTAACAAGGTATTTTGGTTATATCAACTAGGTTGAAATTGTAAAATGGCCACCGTAAAGAGTTAAAAAGCTGACGTTTCGAGCGTTAGCCCTTCGTCAAAATTAAACTGCTGAGTTCTACATTATCAACTTTAATTTCTATTTCAAGTCTCATCAATTTGAGTCAGAGTGAGAGGTATCTGCGTAGAATATTTACGTTAAATTTGAAAAAACTGGCAAAATGTGGCTCTTTTTCCTAAAATCTTATATTTTTCGAGCCCAGGTTTCCATATTTTCAGAATGACAATAGACTACAGCTGTAACGCCGCTGCCGCGCTTAATTTGTTCTGTGGCTTTTAACAGCATGGTGTTCTTTGTTTAATGGCGCTTGATAAGCTCCATTATTGGTAAGTTTAATTAAAAAATCAACATAAACACAAACGATATTGTCCTTACTGAAGAAATGTTACTTAAAATATCACAATTTTTTTTGAAATAATTCCTTAGGTCGTTTGATAAATTTTTCTCAATGATTTGTCAACAAAATTTTGAATTGCAAAACGGGCGAGACATTTGCAATCGCCATAATTTTAGGAGTTCCGCCGCCAACTTGGCGGCGAGTTCTTTGTTAGCTTATGTTACGTGAATGAAAAACCGAAGCATCCGGCCTTTCCCAGCTGGAGTTATAAGGCACATATTCTTGATATGTACACAATTTAGAAAGGCAGAAATGATCGAATAAACTGGTAAACCCTGCGAAGGATGAGACAGGAAGAAAAAAATTGATGTGCACCAGTCATAGGAGAGTCTTTTTAGTTTAACTGCCAGTTTGTCTTTCTTAGATGTTCATGTTCTTAGGCTCGAATAGTCAAACACGCTTAAAGTTTTGTAATTAACCAATCAGAATGCAGGATTTTTTCTTTTGTGGCTTTGTTATAAATACACGTGAGTGGGTAACTATCATCATTACAAGTTCAAAATGCGAGGTCAAGCGACGTTTATAACTTTTATTGTCTTCCTTTCTCAACTTCCTCATGCGTTTTGTTTTACTCGAGAGCAAGATGAGCCCATCATGGTGAGTACCCTACCAACCACACTAACACACACACACACACACATCTATATATATATATTCTGCTCTGCTTCAACGTATTGAGCACTGTTCCACGCGAAAATCGACTTGCAGACTTCCTATATATATATATATATATATATATGTTATTTAATGCTCTCTTTTTTTATTTCAAAAGTTGTAAATAACTGAAGAAGGTCTCGGACCGAAACGTTTTTTATTTAAATTTTTTATATTTTTGACGTCAGAAGTTGTCCATCCTCGCAATTTTTAAACTTTCTACGTTCGTGTTTGCTGTGAGGTTTGGACTGCGAATCATTATTGATCCTCCTGGCGCGGTGCACCTTTGTTGAAAAGGTGAAAAATTATCACAAAAAGAAATGGAAAAATTAACACTTTCAGTGGATTCGACAATTTTTCCATTTCTTTTTATTGTGATAATTTTTCGCGTAGTCATTACTGTGTTTGTTTATATGTGTCATCACGCCCTATATAAATCTATCTAAGGAATTTGTAAGTCATTGTATTACAACTGATGAAGTTCTCGGACCGAAACGTATTTTATTAAACATTCTTAGACTTTTTATTTGAGTATATGTCTTTCTTAGCTCGAAGTTGTCCGTCCTCGTGTACTACAATATTTTATATATATAATGTGTGATAGGCGAAAAAAACAACTACATAGACATATGCATGCATATGTAGTTGTTTTTTTCCGCCTACCACATGTTGTACTTGCTCTACTATTTGTATCGAGCACTGTTTCACGGACACCAAGTTCAATCCCTCTCTCTCTCTCTCTCTCTCTCTCTCTCTCTCTCTCTATACATATATATATATATATATGCACATTTTTTTTTCATCGAAAAAGCCATTCCCTTGGCGTTAGTGACTCGTAGATAAAAGTCTTTAGGTGGAGCTTCTCCGGTGTGGATTGCTCAACTTTTTTTTTTCCCGCTAGATGCAGTTTTGAGTTTTTTATGAATTACACATCACTTCTAAATTTTATCTACGGCATATTCCAGTCAAAGATTACAATCCAAGCTTTTTACTTTTTAAAAAAGCTCAAATGAATTCAAACAAACAAACAAAAAAAGCAATTAAAAAAGGTTTTAGTTTGCGCAAGCTAATTGATAATCAAAACACAATTTTAACATCGACATATAACTGTGATATGTAACACCTTTCAATCTAACATACTGGAAAATATTGTACTGATTTCGGTGTATAATTCAATGCTTCAAGAGTGGTCTATTTGAACACATGAAAAATTGCAAAGACGATCGATGACGCTGGAAAAATAGGGTCAAAATAGCCTGTATTAGAGGAAGTTTGGTAAAGTGTAGGGAATTTTTTTTTTTTTAAAACAATAAGATACTTTTATTTGCAAATTATCTAACATTTTTACACAACTTGATTCTAAAGCTAAGCTTAAATACTATGTGAAATCAATCTCTAGATTCAATGAACAATTCTCAAAATCCAGCTATAATAATTCTTTGAATAAGAATGACTGAAGCTTTCAAACCAAAATAATTCTCAATAGTAACAATCACTTATACCAGTATTTACATAATTTAAATTCAAACATATTTACAATACACTCGATTAAACGTGAAACTATATTTTACACATAATAGAAAAATATATAAAAATGTATAAAAGTGTAGTGAATAGCTTTCAGTAGAAGAAGCGCATTAATTGTTCTAGACCTGTGATAAAAGATATGTTCATTCTTGGTGGTTATGACAACTGATAAATGTTAAACCGTTTTTTCTCAACTTACAGTCTTAAGAGACCAGTCATTATCTAGCACGGGGAGTGGGTGTGGAGAATTTTTGAGGAACATATTGTTTTCAGGGGGGAGCAGAAGGGGGATCGATCGTCATTATAGAAGATTAACTGCCAATTAAATGCTATTGAGAGGAGATCATAAGAATGCTTCAGAACCTTGGAGGGAGGGGGGCAGGTGCATTTTGTTGCACACAAATAAAATCCGCCGGATCTGGTTTCCCCCCCCCCCCCCATCACTCCCTAGGCAATAATTAATGCCGGTTCCTTCGGAAAATTAAAAACTGTGTAACCGTTTGTCTTTCGACAGCAGTAGAGTCAAGCTAACAAGAAGGATCGCAGTCGGCGACTGCTCTTGTGCTAGTCTTTGCAAGGCTATGAGGTTGAATGATTTCCCGTCGCTTTATAATATCAGTTCACTTGTTGATCAAATTCGTACAGGTAATCACATGATTTCGAGTGGAATTTGGAATAAATAAGCACGAGTAATTTTATTCAAAGACTAACAAAATTGCATGAGCCCGTAGGGCGAGTGCAATTTGTGGTCTTTGAAAAAATTTACAAGTGCTTATTTATTCCAAATTGCACGAGAAAATCATGTGATTATCTATTAATAATATACATGAAAAAATACGAAGTAGCTTCTCATAACTACGCAGAAGAAAAGCGCGTGAATCACGTGCAAAAATAATTTTTTCAAACCCTGCAAGTGACATTGACCTTGAGAATGACCAATCAGAATGTCTGGTTTGTTTCTTTCTTTGCACTGAATTAACGCTCTTCTGCACTGAATTAACTCTCTTCTGCACTAAATTAACTGAAAACTGCATTCATCTTAACCAATCAGAACTGAAAAAAATTTTCATGCATATTATTATCCAAAAAACTGAAACATATCATTAAAGTACATGTATTTATCAGCAACATGCGAATAGTAATTTGATAAGTTAATTTATTTTTTAGCAATATTTGCAGAAGCGCGTTTGGAATCCTGTTCTTTCGTTTGAAGCACAACTGCATTGTAAACAAATTGGAGACCCTTTTCTTAAAGATTTGCGTCACTATGGCTGTTTCTGCGGCGTCACTGCGAAGATGAGGAAGTACACAGACCCCTCGACTGTTGAACCCAAGGATGCCTTGGACAGGTAACTATAATTGAAAATGTTAGATTTATTTAATTGGTCGATAAAATTTTAGCTGTTGTCGAGTGCTTTCTAATTCGGCTCTTGGTTAAAAACGCTATCCAACCGGATAAATCGCTATTCAGCAGGTAAGTGTTTACAAAACGTACATGGACTATCCACCGGATAGCGATTAATCTGGTGGATAGCGTTATCACCAATCGAACAACTAGGGCCAGGTCTTTCGGAGAGGAGCTTACTGAAGGGGGGGGGGTTTACTGGAGGGGAAGGAGGGAGGAACATGAAGCGATTGATAATTTAGAGGGGAGAAGGGGCTGAAATCCTATCAGGTGGGAGTATCAATACGCCTAGTCCTATCATGTTCCAGATTGTGGATAAACTCTGACACGTTCCGACTACAGCTCACAACAGTAAGAGGAGATTATCGTGCTATTTGATTTTGGGATTAAATTTAAATATTTCAAAACATACTGACGAATAGCAATTGTTTCTTCTCTTTGATTTCAGATGTTGCAAAGAACATAACCAGTGCCTTAAGAACGCCATCGATAGAAGATCGGACACCTATTGCTCTTCCAATAACATCAAAGAATGTGAAACACAATTGATAGACTGTATTAGTAAAAAAGTTAAATTTAACGATCTCAAAGCAAAATATAAAAATTTTGACAGAGCAGAGTGCCACTGAGTTGATGAATATAAAAAAAATAAATGAGTCAGTAAAAGAAATTTGTTCAAAATAAAGTAATCTTTGCCGTGGTATGCTTATTGTTTGGAACGCTCTAAGAGATATTGAGGTCATGTGGTGTCCCGTATGCTAAGTTTCACACAATCTCAACAGTCGTCAACGCCTAAGTTTATCATCCTGACTCTAAAGCATAAAGTGCCTTTGCTCGTTCCCCCCCAACATGAAATACTAGTACTTCTTTGCAGCGTTATCCCCTCAGAATTCAGTGAGGAGTCTCACCGACTTTCTACCAGTCTTGGGTGGAGAGAGACTTAAGAGCTTTGCTCAGGAGCACATAACCAATTATCCCGGACGTTTTCGAAGTCTGGCTTTTTCTACCAGGAGACAAATACCGTTACAGCTCAGCAACCACTTCTCTTCCCGTTACACTAATTTAAGAGGAAGTAGTTGTCCAAATCTTATTAAATATTAAGTTCGTTTAGTTCCTTAAATCCATAGTTCAAAGCGTTGTTCTTGGTTCTTGACCGGTCCTTGTTTGGGATATATGTCTGCAAGCTCCGACTCCTTCGGAGCAGCCAAGGAGAATCGAGGCTGATGGAATCGTGGATGCAAAAACTTGTAGTACAATGTCATCATGAGAAGTCCCGCAAAGAAAAACACGAAAATCACAATGAACCCTGCAAGCTCTACTTGAAACGGTAAATGCCCACTTCTATTTGTATACCAGAGAATTGAAAAGATCAGATTTTCGACAAAAGTCAAGATGTAGTACTTAATTGCCCAACGTATGGTGCGTACGCCTTCCAGGCAAAAGAAGCAAAACAAATGAATGTAACACACGACTACACGGAAAAAATGTTGCTTCAGGTTGGATCTTGGAAAAAAATAAAGCTCGTGACGCCAAAGGAACGCCAAAACAATGACAAAGTGAATAGAAAGGGCAACGAAAAACCATACTTTGAACTCTGTTGCGAAGAAAACGAGCGAAAGTATTCGAGAAATAATCATGAAAGCTCTCCATAGCCACATGGATAGGTAACCGTACCAGCGCAACTGGCCTTTGTGGCGTTTTGAGTCACGGAGGCAGTTGATGTAGTTAACAACTGCTCTAGAATAGGAAACGAAAGAAAAACAAATGGAAAGGATGGTCCACAAGTCTTGGACACTTGTTGCTTCAAACTCTGCAAGGATTTGACGCGAGACGAGGACGTACAGCTGTAAAACAAGCTGAGGTACATCTTCTGTGAAAGCTAAAATCATTTGCAGCATGCTAATGTCAAGATTCATAGCTATTAATATCTTGTGATCAACAACTCGTTGTTCCTTTTTTCGTTTTATTCGATACGATTTGACAAGGATTCTCCAGTACCTGGAGAAAAAGAGAAAGGCAAAAACTGAATAACAGCACTGTTGACGCAGAGAGAATTAGAGATGTAATCAATTGGCTATTGTAAAACCAATTTGGCAAAAGGAGAAGCCTCTGATCAAAGTGATAGTCTAAATCAGCCGTCCCAAACTTCTTATCTTGAGCAAACACAAACGCACCGTCAAGGTAAACAAACAAGCAAACAAACTGAAAAAGGCACTCGGTGCAACGAAACATTTGACTTCAATTCTTGTCGCGCTTTTTATTGGACCCCTCTCCCAGTGATACCTACCACATTTTGAAACTGTGTCCCCTCCACGAAGAAAATGTGCAATTAAGACCTTTGCAACTTGTGTCTTAGCCTACGTGGGGCCGTACCCTTCCCTTCGAGGAGAAAAAGGGAGGAGGGTAGGGCTACACGTACGCTACCTGAGTCTCTCAATCTAAAATTTTTCAGCTAGTTCAGTTTTACCTCTCTATAGGCCCCACTAAAAATAAATGTGTTGCTACGACAACTTTCCAGCCACTTTTCGGTCGCCTTCCAATCTTTTCATCTTCTTTGTACCAAAAGAAAGATACCAAGTTTATGATAATAGATGGAAGTAGCACAAACGTCACTGTGAGACTTCCCCACCAGTTGCTGCCGGCTCTGAAATGGTCAGCTGCAACTTTAAGATCCGTTGCAATGTCGGCGAAGAACGCGCCAATCCCCACTACCGAGAAAAAAATGCCAAGCCATGTTGCGTTACCACGCTTCCGCCATAACTCTGAGAAGTCTTTGTCCATTTTTCGAGGCCGCATTTTTAAATTATCCATCACTAAATGTACCGCTCGTTTGAAGCGTTCTCGTGGTGGTAAATATCTGAGTCCGCTAGCTTTGTTACGAGAGCGTCCATTGGTGACACTAAACTTCGTTCCATTCGTGACACTGTCTGGTAACGCACCTGTCACGTAAGAGTTTCTGACTACAATTGCCTCGTGACTTTGCTTTGTCACAGCAACAGAGTATCCATAGAAGCGTTTGTATTTACTTGCGATTTCGTTTTCGAATGACTGTCTTCCGCTTAAATTCCCAAAACTGTTTGTGGTAGACTTATTTTTGGATTCCTCGTCGTCTATTTCGATACATACTTGCTCCACAGCTTTTACATTTTCTTTTGAGACGCGAACATAAAAGCGACCAGGATTCACGAAAGTTCCGCTTCCCTGATTAGAGGATCCGGAAAGATAGCTTTCAATCGACCAGTTTCTATCCACTTTTCTACCCTTTCCGTCGACTTCATCCCCTGTAGGTTCCGTATCCCTCTGATTACTTGTAAATGTTTCAATAATCTTGCGAAGGAGAATAATCTCCTCCTCGCTTAACTTCGCGAAGTGGTCACCATCCACTGTTGCGTTTCTCGTGGAATGGGAAGAAATTTGCCGCCTAAGGGCTCGTACGGTTCGTTTCTGTTTTTCATCTAGCTTCAGTGTGGTCTGAAGATGTTTTGAATGTTCAAGATCCATTTAAAAAGCGACCATTCTCGTTCTTCGACCGCTTCTGTCGGTTTAAAACGGCCTACGGTGCTGGGCCAGCGGATTGAATCCGTATTAATTTATGCACTACCCGCCAAATGAATGAAGTAGTGGGTGAATGACATCAGCAAAAAAGGGACTTACCTGACGGATGAACTTTCATTTTCATTTAATGTTTACGCTATTTGTTATCGTATTGTTTGTCATTTGCTTTTCTGAGAACAATCAAATACTTTCCCGATATTGTTTTCAATTTGGCCAAGCCTCAGATATGATTCCATTGCGGTGTTTAATACTTACACTCAGCAAGACGAACGATAAATATTTAAAATGTTCGCATCGTCTGATGTGTTAATTTATGATAAACAACACATAAATTCTGAACAACCATCACGAACCATTGCTTCGTAAATCTCAATATTACATTCCCTTAAACATCTTAAGAGATCATCTATATTTATAGAAACCGGCTGTTACTACGTAATCTCCGTTTACTAATCGTTCACATTTGTTGCTCATGTTTCCTTTTACCAAACAATCTCAAGGTTGGAGTTTTCGTTCCGCTTGAAGAATTAAACAAAAAATTCGTGGTCACGAAACCCATTTCCTGAGAAATCACACCGTCAAGTTAGATAATGGCATAGCCCAGAGTAGCCATACCCTCTACCCAAAGAGAAAGGAAGGGGAGGGAATGGCGCTGTGAAAGTTGTCATGTCTTCCGGAATGGGGTTAGGGAAATCAATTCAATTTTGGAACAAATCGACGCACAGTGCAGTTACACTTCTCTTGAACCAGACGTGTCGACTGTAAGACGGTACCAGCGGTGTGATTGGCCATGACGTGTGGAGTGCTTTGACTGCTGCACATGTTCCTAACTTTCTCGATCACTATGAAGAAAAGAGATGAGTGTGAATTGATTGCTGGAGACCCAACCTATAGCGGCCAACTTTGCACTTTGGACAATTGATTGTTCTAAGCTGGTCAGGAAGTTAGGGATGATAACCTTAATTAATCCCGTATACCTGTGGGACTCCTCTTTGCTAACTCACCTGCGTTGGCCTGGTGCCGAAGAGCAGACTGGTAGTTCGACAAAGTTGGAACAGCTGCAACAATGATAGTGCTTGTCCTGCAATATTTTAGAGTTTTTAAAAAATGTGTCGGATCGAGGCCTTAGCAGTGAAAATTATTGTTATGAAAATTATTATTATGAAAATTATTATTATAAAAATTATTATTATGAAAATTATTATTATTATTATTATTATTATTATTACATTTCGATCGCCGCTCTTCTTTCTTTTACACAAGTTAGTTTTTGATTGCAGTGTTGACAGTTGTGTGATCTCGTCACGCCAAAGCAATGCGTTACGAAAATCTTTGTGAGGACTAAAAGTCTTCATCGCTCATCAAACTTACTTCTTTTCAGTAAATCTAGTTTAAGACAGACTCGAGAGAGTGTTTGAAGAACTGAATAGTGACTTTTTAAACCATGGAAACCACAGGTTTCAATGGCGTGTTAGTACTGTGGTAAATTACACCGGCTTAGCAAAAATTCACGAGACAAATGGCGCCATATTATCATTTGTATTGATATTTGTATTGATGATCTGGTCAATTAAATCAATCACAGATGAATACAAAAACAGCGAAAATTCCATTATTGTAGACAAGAAAAGCTGCTGGTTAGCTTTAGCTACTTGTGTATAATACACATCAGAATCCAGCGTCGGAAAAAAGGATTTTCTATGCTTTTGTTTGTAAGCCACATCGTTAAACTAATTTGTTACCATCTCTTTTCACTCACCCACGTGCAATGTCGTGCTTGCATGTTTAATTGTTGACATTGTGCGGAATATTTGTTTATAACTTCTACTTAATTAACCTATTTGTTCTTGATTCTTTGCACATCTTGAAAATGATTTCACAAATGAGACAAAACATTCAATAGACCAACCATGTTATCTAATGAATTTCCTACATGGCCAAACATATCAGCTGTGAATAATTGAGCTATTGTATCGCTGACCGCACTGAGTTACACATCCTGACACTGCGCTATTACAGAAAACTAATTCAGCAACAGGAATTTTATCTATCACGAGCGACAATTTTATCGACAAAATACCAGAAGGTAAGACTGACACGTGTTATTTTTCTGGAGAAGCGGAATTAGCTCTGATGTTTACTCTTGCTCAAACAATCGCCTTGCGCACGTGGCTTCTCAAGAATTCTGTTCAGCAGTCATTTTAACCGGTGTAGTATTCAACGGAGACGTTGTACTGAAAGAGTTAACCCAGCATATCGTATGAATTTCTGAGGTATGCCTTTTCTACTTAGAGATAAATCACATTATTCCGACGGGGCAAAACGTTGAGAGTTTAAACCGATTATTTCGGTCGGGAGGCTGTGAACAAACAGTGCCGACTTATGCATGTGTGATTCAGTATGGCCGTCAATTTTGATTTGAAAAACATGGTTTCTGTTGTTTGAAGCATTTGCAAGAGCTCTTTAGTCTCACCACTTTCATATCAAGTGAAAAATAATTTCTCTCCGATTGAGGAAAAAAAAAATGTAATTGTTTCCCGTGTGGACACAATTTGGTTTTAACTACCGGCTTTTACTTTTGGCGGTACAACTTTGAAGTCTTCAAAATTATGAGCCCTTGATTGTGTTTCTTCAATGTACGGTCTTCTTAGGACAAAGTTTTTAAATCTTTTCTTGGTTTAAGCTTAACACCTCAGCCGACCTTGGCTGTCAGCCTTAAAGCACTTAGTTCTGAGTCCTCAACCCTCAATTATTGATAGTATGTCCTTTTAGTGATCTACGGACATATTTGACAATATTTTGTCAGCGGCGGCGTCTATGTGCTACACACGCGACGCGGACTTCCCGCCAAATGTTTGTCGTAACTCGTAAGAGCCCTTGCTGTGGACAAAGGGATTAGTTCCTGTGGATAGCCACTCGTAGCGCACCAATAGAACTCATATTCGCAGTCACAGAACGTCTGGTACATTATACATATCACCATCGATCGGAGTTGTTCCGAAAAGTATGTTTTTGTCAAGTTGATGATTCGAGTCCGTGCTATGCTGACTCTTTAATGTTGGCGCGCGGCCTATTTCAAGGCCCAACGCGATGAAATAAGTTTGTGCTGATGAAATAATGCAGTGATGAAATAAGTTTACGTGGGAGGAACGCGCTGCCGAAGGGTTAATCGGAAAATATCATCAAGTTTCGAGGGATAATCAAACGCAGATGCGCTACCAGGGTTGTACGTAAAATCAAATAATCAGATAATAGCTGATGTTTTTTTTTTTTCCGGTGCTTGATGATAGCCAATTTACGCAAACTTCTTTGACTGCCAAGGAAAAGGAACTGCTACACCTTCAGGTACCCTCAGGCACAATGTCGGAAGCATTTTCAGGAAATGATCAAATGTTCAGTCTTTTAAAATAACAAATCTGCTTATCCACGATGACAGTTTGATGATATCTTAAACTGCATCACTTTTTACTCGCCATTCGTTAAATAACTTTCTTTTAAAAGAAACAAGGAGGGCTGCCAACAATTTACAAAGATTCTTCGTAATTTTATTTTCATAGGACGTACACAGCAGTAATAGTCACAAGGAACTCGATAATCAGAGAGCAGAAATCTCTAGTAAAACCTATGAAGTGGACATTCTGACCACGTTATTTTTGGCCCAGATAAGCTTGCGATTTTGTTTCCAGCTTTGTGGTGGCTTAGGGTCATTTGAAGTACCCTAAAGGAGTAATTGACTGTGCAATCATGGGATTATTCATTTTCAATAGGCAACCTTACCACCTCAAAGACTGTTAAAGCTAGTCAGTTGTCATGACTTTTAAGAGAAGATCTCGCGTGAATTTCCCAAGAACCAAATCTCTAGCATTTCCTGTTTTTTTTAATGGAAACTGAACAAACACGGATGACTGGTCACGAAATGGGTGCGAAACCATTTCCCTGTCACTTATTATTTCCCTTCATAAAATTCCTTTCATTCCACCAAAGGTACCAGTCAACAGCTGAGAGGCACTTAACGTAAGCTTCGCATCATTTCAAGCTTTAAAATTCTCAAAAGTTAAGTTAGTGGCCAGGGCCAAAGTATGAAAGCCTTGTTTGACAGTTATCTTTTGTCACCTCATTTATCTTTTGAATACTTTTGAACAACATCGCGAGTGATCTATTGTTCTAAAAAACATGACTCAAAATATATTTTCCATGCCCCCCAAGCCAGGTATCTATTTATAGACAAAAGGTTCCTATATTAAACAACGACCAAGAATAACCTCCGCGAGGTTTGTTACAGCTTTTGTAAATCAGACGCGAAAGAAACTCATCGAAGTTTTAAAGCATTTTACGAGATCTGTTAAATATCTTTCCACCCGCTTTTGTGAAAGGCGGTTTTCTTAAGCTGTCAAAGCATTATCGCCAGAAATACATCCGTTTATCTCACAAAATCTGATCCAATTACGTATTTGTGCCATACTTCGTTCAATAGGCTTGATTAACTTGTGAAGAGGTGTATTCTAACATTACCTGTGTTGTAAGTGTTGAAAGGGTTAAATTTTCACCTCAATCAAGCTACACGTTTTACATCAAATCCTTTTACTGAAGATGAAACAAAACAGAAACACGCATGCGACAAACGTGACGGCAAAGACGGCTACATGATCTCCAGGAACACCGTAGACATATAGCCTGCCTTCAATCGCTATTACTGATGTTTTATGGCAACATGGAGCGTTGTATTCAGCCTCTTATTGCTTTATCGATAATTTTTCTTTCATTCACGGGCCATTTCTTCCTCCTTGTGTACACTAATCGGACCTGTTTGCCATTTTTTTAATCACAACTTGCATACGCGCCACTTTTTTGTACCGAGTGCTTCCGGTGTAAAGTACACTTGAATACAAGTAAGGAGGTTGGTCAAATCCGCTGATCAATAACATTCCTTAAGATTCCCCACTGAGCTCTACCTACTCACAAGCCATTGCAGAACATTATAGAGTTCCGATCTACTGCACTGACGTAATCAGCGCTCCTATTGGTGCTTTTGGTTTGGCAGTGAGGTCTTTCTGTTTAAGTGCTGTTCTTAACTGGCTTGATATGGCAGTAGTTGAGTTGGTATCATTTGTTTTGAAGCCAGCCTAGGGGATCTAAATCATTCAGTCGCAACTTCACAAGGAGGTACATCGCATCAATTTGATTAGCCGGTAAGCTGGTACAAGATTTGAAGCATTCTTCGTTTCGATTTAGTTTCTGGAATATTTCATTTGTGGAGCAGATTCTCCTTTATTGATTTATCAGCGGAAAGCCATTTCTATCAAAGGTCGCTACCCACGGGAATGCATTTGTTCAAGTTAATAATTCTGTACATCGTTGCTTTAGGTAATTTTTGTTCACTTTCTTTGAGTTTGTCGGTTAATTTTTAAACTAGCGCTAGGAGGCATTTTCAGATGCATTTAGGTCAAACCGGTTCAAAATTTAGTGACTGTACATGCAGGAGTTATTTTATTGTAATCCGTCCTCTGTTATTGTCTAAGACAGTTGGATATCAACTTTAGCTTTTGTTTGGTTTTTTTTTTTCGAAGGTGCAATTTTCGGTACTCATGTTGTTTTTGTCTTCTTTCGTCGCCTGCTACTCGTCACGGAACGATCACAAAATCGTTTTGATGAGTTCGATCAATGATTTTTTTTTCGATGGAAATTGCCTGACCGTTTGGGGGTTTTATCCTTTTGTTGTGGCAATAAATTTCATCGTTGGGCGGAAGCCAGCGATGAAAAAAAATTCGTGTTGCAACGAGAGGTTTTTCCGGTTGTACGGTTGAAAATTTCCGGCGTGATAACAATCTTTACCCAAGCCTTCAACTCTGAGAAAGGCGCCAATAAGGATTCATTAATTTAGATTAGGTTATTGTTTGAAACCTCGACCTTACCATTAATGTTTTGTGCATTGAATGATAAACGCCCTTGTTTAAAGATTAAATGATTTTGCGTGAACTGATGATAACCACAGTTAACCACATAACAACCTTGAAACCTCAATTCAAATAGATTTGGCTTGCGGGCCTATATCACCCACCCGCCTGGTTGTGATTGCACTTCATGATAAGGTCTCTCTCGATGTTTCACTAAAAATCGAATCAGTGGATGCCTGCAAGCGTTGGTCACGTATAACTGACCTTGAAATTTGTGAACGTGATTTCCTGTCATGAGCTGAGCGGTTCTAGTGTTCGGTTGTGCGATAAGACAACAAATAATTGCTCGTTAGTCATCCAATATGTTGTTTTGATAATCAAGTCGTTATCGCTGCAGAGTAAAAGCGGCCCTTAAGTATTTTTAGAAAGAAAAATACTATTATAGATAAAGCTTTTCACGCAATTTTCTAGAGTATAGAAGTGTTAAACAGGCGTTTATTGTATGTGTTAGTTTTTTTAAACTAGTATCATTTGCATAGCTTTGAAAAGGACACGGCTTTTAATGTTAATGTGGATAAATAAGGGACACACGCGAAGCAGCTGTGGAAAGAGTTTCAATGAATCAGGTTTGAGGCGGGAAATATTTGGCGCCAATTCTCAAAAAGACGATTCAGCGTTTGTTTCAATTCCGGACTATTAAGAAACGTTAGCTTAGATATTTCAAATGGGTGGAAATCAAATGTCTTGTAGCAAAACATCAATTTGTATTTATATATTCTTGCCATTAATTAGGGGTACTCGACGAGGTTTGACATTTTTTACAATGGCAAGCGAAAACCTAATTACGTAACGCCAACACGAGCTGTCTTCCTGTCATAGCAACAACTCGATTTCTCTCGGTCTTTACGAGGTCATTGTGCATATATTTTAACGACCTTCAAATAGAGGAACTTTTATTGAGTTAAGAAAGAACAAGGTCTGAGTTTTTTTGAGATCCGAAAGCTTTATGCCCCAAGGGGATTCCCTCGCCCTTAAGCGAGACAAGGGAGGAAACATTGCCGACCTGTAGTGAAAACAAGCGACCCCTGTTGGCGTATTGAATATGCGACCGAGAAGCGGGTGTGAGTGTCTTGACTAGCGACTTTTCCTATAGTGGTACTCCACATTGGCATGCCAATTGAAGAAAGCGCCAAAGTACATGAAACCCCAAAGAAGTTTATGGTATGTTTTGATTTCATCATGCAATTTCTATACGCACGGCAAAATTAGTCTGTGAAAATACCATGAAACCGCAATTCTAAGGAATAAACTTAGATAAAGGTTGTTTTTAATTGAGAACAGTTATGCAGATACGATGAAAGCATTCTTGTTCAGCTCTAAGAAGTGCAATTTAGTTCATCAGTATTTACAAATTCATACGACCATCCTATCTTTCCATTTTGAAACCATTTTGAATTGTCTGAAACACGATTTGCGTCGAAATTAATTTTAGTGAATACTTTAGGGCAATTAGTTAAAAGGAGGTATGTTTACCTGATCTCTTAATATTACCATCTACAACTTCAACTCCTTAATCAGTATTGAGAGTCATCGATCGAAGCACTCAGAAAAACTCTGATCGCCTGTCAAAGATCAGTCTTGTCAGTATGTCTTGTCATGAACAAAAGACCATCTGAAAATTTCAGCTGAAAAAAAAAAAAACAAATAAAATGCTGGATGGTTTTGTTAGTAACCAAGACAGCATACTAATTTTTTTACCGAGAGCTTTCTGCGGTGGATGTCTTCGTCAAGACGACACGTCGCAAATATGATAGGTGTATTCTTTATACATTTAGAGAGGGGTGTCATTAACGTGGTACTTATTTTGGTAAGATGCTTCTTAATTCTGACCATATTTTGACTTCAAGAACCAGACTCGCTTTAAAAACTGCCAGACCATGGAAATGAGTTAATTTTTCTTTCATTTTGTGAATGACTTGTCTGTGGGTCAAATTCTTTTAGTGGTGGAATAATTATTCGCCACTAATCGATAGTGTCGGACTAATTGGAACCGCTAACGCCTTGATATTGAGTTTGTGAAAATTCATGTCCCGTGAGATTAGATAGTTAAATAAAAAATTGGTAAAATTCAGACGGCAGACCAACTTGCCGTGGTTCCTTTCATTGTTTTATACTAGAAAATTTCTAGTTCTTTCAAATTCAATCCAGTTTACAACATTGTTATAACTCTCTTGTCGGTTTTAAGAAGCACTGCAGTGAGGTACGCCCAATTCTTTTCTTTTATTTTTCATCGACTAGTTGAATCTGAAACACACTTATACTATTCCCGAAACTGAAAAAAAAAAAAAAAAAAAAAAAAAAGAAAAGAAAACAAATTAATGGGCTCCCCTGTGCGAGAAGTTTGATTCGGTGAGATGACCTCTTAATGTCTTCGAGTGGGTCTCGTATGGTAAGTTGATGTTGGTGTAGTTAACTACATCACCAATCTATCGGAGTTGATTTCGATCACGACAAACAGAATAGAGCGCTGTTTCATGGAACTTTTTGTTGTGACTAATTTTCCCTTTGAATGTAGGTTAGTCATTCTAATAAAAGGTTCCACTTGACTTCGTTTTCGTATGTTGATCCCTGTGGCAGTATCGATATGCAGAGCATTCTTATTTTTCAGTTCCGCGTGAGCAGTGCTTTAGTATTGGCGCATTTTCAAGCAAATGGATTAATGCGGCACATTGAGTAACACTTGTACACGGTCGCGTCGGATTATTAAGTGCCATTGCAGGAGATGCCAGATAGATATCGACCTTTTTTTGATTGGCTTGGTTTGTCAAACACCAAGGCAAAACGTGCCAATGACTTTTTTCTGGCTCCGATTTAGTGTGTGTTCTTGGCATCATGGAAGAAGAATTTTCCAGGTCCTCACCAGGGGTAAGGTCAACACTGGGGTCATGTTTTGTGATATATTTTTCGCGTGTCACTTGATATAAGAACACAGATTCGAAAACTCTGCAATGCCCTCGATTTCTTCCCCTTCCGGTACACAGCTCTCAAACTCTGCTACTTCAGGAAATCGGGCTGATCTTCGCTTTAATACTCTTTTTGGGGGGATAAGTTTTCAGTTTAAGAGCAGATAAATGTAGAAAGCAGCTCTTTTGAAACTGTTTATTTTATATCTACGTGCGGGGAAAATTGTTTCTTTTATCTCTCCAAGAATGATTTCATCAGATAAGCCCAAACCAAAGATTGATGATGATCAAATGTATCTGAGTACGTTCTCGATGTGTTATCCCATCTTTGACAAGATTTTGTCGACAGCAACTGTGGAAAGATTTGAACCTTCGCTGCAACAAATTTGACAAAGTGGACATAAACATGGACGGAGGTTAAAAAGCCAAAGTATTATTAAGATAATTTTGACGCGCAAACCCATTTTGGACCTGTGCCGCTATTGATTTCACGTGACCAAGGGAGAGAGGGGATTTGATAACGTAAAATATGTAAACAATAATGAGATTGAATGACAAAAAGGATTTGACGCCGGACAGTACATGAACCAAGGCACGCGGACATTTATTCCACATGCAACAGACGGAGAGTACGGGCGGTCAGGTTTAACACTAGCATCGTCTTATTTCACGAGCGTAGGGGGTTCCACGTGTTTTATTTTGTTGACAAAGTAATTTAGGTTTGATTTCGTTTTCGAGCATTTTTTAAGGGTGAAATGTTACTCCTAACACTGACCGGTGTATGTTCTTCATATCTTCTAACAACCGTGTTCTTTTTCGCAGATACGCGATGGATCCTTGGCAATATTTACTGTTAAGAGTAGCCATATTTGTCATCGGTGGAAGTCGTTCCTCGTTTACAAGTCCCTTGGGCGCAAACAGGTTTTCAGGTGACGCAAACTTCCGAAAAATTTTTGATTTTTCTTGATTGTTATTGTTTCTGCTGTGGTTGTTTATTTTGGAGAGCTTACCGTCGCCGAGCCCATAATGATTGTCATGCTGTACGACTAGATACTCTGTCCTCACCTTAAAACATGGCCATTTAATTTTGCCGGACGTTGAATGCATAGAGCGAAAATAAACTTGTTATAATGATCCACGTGATGATCAGATTTAAAGATAAAGACACACGCTTAAGTGACTTGTATGTATGTCACTTTGCGTCATAGTGGCTGTTATTTACATCGAGTTGTTTTTTTTCTCTTTCTTTCACCAGATACTTCCTTCGTATCTCAATCAGAACAGCTTGGTGAAGATTTTACCGTCATGGACTGGATTAACGAAGCAAACAAACGTAAGCCTTTTATCCTATACCTACAGCTGTTATTAAGCCTGGAAAAAGATTATCTCTTCCCATACGCGTGAAAGATATGTGATCGTGCACCATATGTAAGATATTGAATGCAGCCAATTAATGAAAACCTTCGTTTGCTATTTCGACCTTTCGAGAGAGCCATCATGGGCAGTCAAAGTAAATTGGCTGCTTTTGTCTTCAAGTCAAAATAAGCCACAAACGTGGGAGTTAAGGTAATATTTTTATCACCATTTACAACCTAGATAGTTCACCGGAAGTATCCAACGGCGACATAACATTCTGGTAAGAAAAGCGGGTCAAATTTTTTGAGAAAGTGGACAGGGTAACTTTTGTTTCACGTTTAACTTCCACTGCAACCACAGACATTCCGTGACGAAGGTAGTGATAGCTGAGCTGTAAGTCAAGCAAACCCCATTGCGTTTTCCGTGTTCTGCTTACTGTATTTTCCCTTGCGAGTAGGCTGGGTTGCTAACGGTTTTCGGGGCGCTTGATGAAAAGAAAGGCAGTGGAGCGGTGAAAAAGAGCAGCGGAACTTCGAGTGGCCTTTCACGGCTTCTTCAGCTCGGGCAAAAGCGCCATTTTTTTTTTTCTGCAAGATTCGTCATCGGCTGCTTTCGGTCTAAATCCGCAAATTGAAACTTGGCTCTACATTTCATATCTGACATATCTAGTCTCAGCTGCTGAAAGGAACCCTCTTCGTGTGTTCCCAAGGTGGAATCGATTACGCTTAGCTTTGGGGTGAATTTTTCCAACGCGGAACTCTCGACCCTTCGTGACGTATCGACCAACGCAAACACTGACTTAAGAGACAAATGAGCTTACGAGAGCTTACAATGATTAAAACCATCCCGTTTGTAATGTTTTATTTAACAAAGCTGGTCTGAATAGGCATATTGTTTTTGTCTATCTACCAATGAAGCGAAGAGTCTGTTTTGAAGATAATTTTACAATGAAACTAATACGCCGATCATGTTTCATGAAATCTTTAAAAAACAAAAAGAAAAGAAATTTGATAAAAGAACAAGAGGCGCGTGGATGTGACCCCAGTCCTTCTGGCTGGAAAAGTTGGTAGCTATTGGTTACACTTATACAATGTGTTGTACAATTGTTTTTTAATCAAAAAGGGTATCGAGTTGTTGGCGATCTAATCTTATGCAAAATAGGAGACTTGGCCGTCATATTTAGCCATAACAACTGCCACGGTTTTAAGGTTCTCTCACTTCCTCAAAGCCCTTCGTTTTTGCCGAACCGTAATGTCAAAACTCAATGGCTATTCATGCTACTGTGTAAGAAAAAATGGTTTGTATATGTTATAAATTAATAATCCAGAAATTTATACAAACAGCATTTCATCAGCTGTAGATGTACGTGCCAAGCAGTATTCTTTTACTGAGGAAGTAGCAAACTGTGAATTGCGTCACCGGTACTGAACGGACCGCAGGCGATGGGCTCCTTAAAACTATAACCGGACAACTCGACGAGTGGGATTAGGAAGTTTCTTGTGAGTTTGGTGCTTTGCTTGGCACTGATAACGCAGACCGATTGTTCTATATAACAAGATAGAGATTTCATCACGTACTTAAATATTACTCTGAAGGGAATGATACAGGCTTGATCTGAGAACGTTTACAGAGAATTAATTTAGAGAAATTTCGTGAATGTACGCTTGTAAAATTTGTAATTGGTAATTTGTACACCTTTGCAATTCAGCTTCCAGCTGCTATTAAGGTATTCTTTTTAATAAACGTCTATCTATCTATCTATCGTCTATCTAAAACATAACAGAAGCATGATTGGTTTGGTACGAGTTAATTTTTTGGGTGTGTTTTTCTGTTTTTCTGTTTTTTTTAATGGTCACTTAAGTTTCTATTTCAATTTAAGAGCACCTCAGCCCAAGTGCAAATAAATGTTAAAAAGTGATCACTCGCCCTTAAATTACTTCTAGCCCCCCCCCTCCCTCCTGGTTCTCATGCGTATGTTGTTCGCGGTGGCTAATTCCCCATGCACAGTACTAATGATATAACTGATTTCATTACAGCCTACAATATCGGACACGAAGGGGACATAGTTTTGACGGACAGAGACTGGAACGTTTATGAGAAGACGCGTTTCAAAAGGAATGCCGTGCGACAGAGGAAAAAGATTTGGCCCAAGCGAGTTGTACCCTATGAGATCGAAAAGGGACTGGGTACGTAAACCCTGCCAAGCATGCGAATTTTTTTCTTGCATTTTGGTTGCAGAGGAAAGCCATCTTTGCTCAAATCTAGTTGTCCTGTTTCCATGAGAACAAACAGTAACAAGATAAGTCTGTATTTTGCTGTGGTGGTGGTGTAGGTTAGACATTTATGCAAATATTAGTTGGCTGTGAATAATTGTCTCGATATTTTCTAGTTTTTCCTACTCGCAATTTTTTATTCCATCTGTAGAGCAGGGCTTGGAAGGGATTCACTTTTTACAAAGCTGTAGCTAATTAGTTCCTTAATTACCAATCTATTTTCCAATCTGCCATTATGATGTCGTCTATATTCATTACCTTTCAGACGCGTTCAAAAAGAACATCATGTCTGCGATTGAGGAGTTTCACAAATACACCTGCATCACTTTTAAAGAGAGGACGAACGAGAGAAACTGGATAAAATTTAGCAGAGGAAAGGGGTGAGTTATTGATTATATTGTAAGTTCTTAAACTTGTTTGAACTCTTTGGCAGGCGCGGTGGCCAATAGTCGGCTCGCTTTTCTCCTCGTCGAAAGATTCGGGTTCAGCCACTTTGTCATCTTGAGCGGGAAGACACTGTACTTTCAAATGGGTTCCAATCGACTGGAAGAAAAACTAGACCAAAGCCGGAGGAGGGGAGTAACTTCAGTGATTCGCGTCCTGTCCCGTTGGGGTAGAAGTATTGCGACAAAAAGCGGTGTATGCTCCAGCAGCTATGCGTGTCCATCACGTTTGCAGACTTCAACATTTTACACACTCGTTGTCAGATGGGTGTGATCGCCCCCCAAAAATACAATCTACATTCTTTTTGGATCTTGAAAGTGTTCGAAGTTTTTCACTGTTTTATTAACCAAACATGCTCTTATTTACTCACATAAAGGCGCCCCAAAACAAGTTTTTTTTAGCAATTGACGTAGGTTCATCGCTGTTTTACAGATGTTGGTCGTACATTGGCCGATTGTACTGGCTCAGGAGACCTCAAAGTCTATCGTTGGGGAACAGATGTAACAACAAAGGAATCATTATGCACGAGTTAATGCATGCAATTGGTTTCTGGCACGAGCAGTCGAGACCTGACCGAGATAAGTACGTGGAAATCATCTGGGAAAATATTAAGAAGGGTAGGTGTTGCGTCAGTCACGTGTTATTTGAACAGAAAAGTACGATAATTACCATACATGATTACACCCTCGTTTGACGTCATTAATCCAAAATGAAAGCTTCTCATGCAGTCCTCTGCAAGACTTGTCACGCAAGGACGAATGCGTGACCTTAGGAGGATGTTAAATTTGCAAGGGTAATTTCACTAGGAAATTTATGGCAACTAGAGGGGAGAGATGCAAATTAGATCGTGGGTATCATAGGATTTAGAGAGCTTAACTGTGGTTTCCATTGGTTTCTGTTATGAAAAGTCTCCGATCCTAGCTTCAGTTTAAATTCCACAATCCCACTCAGATAGGTTCAGGGAAATTCAGGGCATAACCTGTAAAGATAACAAAATTAAAGGGGGAAACAACTTCATTGATACATTTTGAGTTTATTTGTTTTTTTTTTTTCTTCTCAGGGTTGGAAAACCAATTTGACAAGTACAAACATTCCAAAGTCGACAGTATGGACTTTGATTATGATTACAGTAGCTTAATGCATTACAGTAAAAGGACGTTTTCAAAAAATGGTAAACCAACTGTGCGTGCTCTAAACAACCCTTACATGTCTTTGGGTCGATCGGTTGGCTTTAGTGATCTGGATATCAAGAAATTAAACGCCCTGTATCACTGCAATAGTGAGTGTTTATTCTGGTTTACTACTTTATGTGAGCTTATCTACGTTGTATCGGTCTTGCCTCTATATTTATATTCGTTATTTTGGGCCGATTAGAGCACTGCTGATCCAACGTACAAGAGTAGTATTATCGTCCACGGTTGCTTGCTGAACATTTCACAGTTTTATATGAGGCTGAATAATACAAGCATTTTGATTGGTTCTTACTCATTGTCTATTGAAAGACAGATGTATAGCTGACGTCACCATGAACAACGTTCTGCTTTTTTGTCAAATAAAACAGATTCCATATTGCTATGTCGCCTACTTAAATGTGGCAAGAACATTAGAGACACACTGGGCTGCGCCTCATGTGCGCACGTGCCACTTTTTTGTTCTTACCTCATTTTGACGTCATCTGTTATCTATTACTGAACAGATGCACAGCAACATGGAATTTATTTGTTAATTAGGAATCAACGCTTCGAACTCTTTGCGAAAGTGCCACCATTATAGTCAATTTATAGTATCGCCATTCATACGCAAGGGAGTTCGTGGTGCGCAGATGTTATTCAGCATTTTCAATTCACCCGTTTTTTTCTTGTAGATAAGGACCAAGTAGGATGGAGTGAGTGGTCAGCGTACACCCCCTGTAACAGCAGGTGCATGAAGTACCGCCAGCGGGTTTGCTTTTCGTCCCGGTCGCACTGTCCTGGGGCCGACTCTCATGGAATTAAAACTGATCGGAGAAAGTGCACCAAAGAAGAATGTTTTGGTGAGTGAAGATGGTAATAAGTTCAAGTCCTCAATATACTTACCTCGATGAATGGCGGGTCTGTCAAACGAATAACGGTCACACTCGAGGTCATTCTTTAATGCAGCATTGTGCAACATTACTGCACACAGTTCCATGGTTAATTTGCAGCGGCACTATTCTCTTTCCCAGATACATGTAGCTCTCTTCTTTTGGTCACGTGGTCGAAAACGAGTGGGTTTGGGGACGAGAATGTGCTTTACAGATACGACACTTTTTTCGGTTTTATTCTTTGTCTGGAAGTCGCCAGAAGAGATGAAATGTCATATCGTTGAAAACGAGTGTAGTTAACTATCTTTTTTCTCTAGGCAAGGGTTATATAAAATGCTTCAAGGAAAGTCCTGTCATTCAGCATTTAGACACGAGTTGAAGTATTGGAAATGAAACGAACGAGTGAGATTTCTATCTATTGAGAAATTGAGACAGAGATCTTAAAGTGCACCTAAACCCAAAAATTTTTTTTCGCTTAACGAAATAAGCCTATTTTTTGGAGTATTTCTCTGCAAAAATTTTTTAGTTTGCTTAAATCTTTAATTTTCTGTGCCTAGTCAAAATACGGAAAATCGGCCGCCATCTTGCCCCACGACCGAGTTTAAAGAGGAATGGCTCTAGCGGGTAATGTGACGTCAAATCGAGAACACGAAAGTCTGCATTTCACACATTTTCACTTGTTTGGGAAGGTTGTAGTCGATATTGTCCGAAAATATGCCGACTAAGTGTGTTGTAG